TGTTCATCTGATTCGCGTTTACATTATTTATTTAGAAAATTCATAAGTAGCTCTACATAAGAAACTGCTGAAAAAGTTCTGACCATTTTCAACTAGCTTTTAATGAATTGTCAGTAACTGATTGACAGATTTTTTTACCACGATAGATCCACTGTGTCTAAACTACACCGATAAAAAAATGTTTGGACTCAATAGTATCTAATATCCGGTACGATGAAGGACCATGAACCGACATAGAAAAGGTAGGATCTCTGTTTATCTATTTGTTATTTTTATGATATTGAAGAATATAAATACACATATAACTATTTTCGATTGTGAGATGTAATATTTTCTACAACCGTTCTAGATCAACAGAGAAATAAGAAAAGAAAAAAAGGCACGTCGAAATGATGAATTGATTGAACCTTGCCTCGAATTTGTCTCTTTAAAGTCTCTTTACGCAAAATGTTCCTGAACTTTCTATTTCTTTTAAATTGACACTTCTCCCGAAACTTCCGTCGGAATGATTGTTTATACTTCAACTGTGCTATTTACGCATTTAAATTATCATGACGTCAATACAAAAAATAGCTTCGCGGAATTTTCATGTCACCCGCTCCAGCCTGAGTCCAGGTTAAAAAAAATTATGGGTTACCCAAAATATTCCATTTGGAACAGTTGTAAGAGTAACAGTACAAAGAGACTAACTATATATTGCCTCGAAATATATACGTTTCTTTCTGTATAATAAAACTCTTATTTACTGGCTATTCGGACATTAGCGAGTGTATTGTCACCTCGACACAATTTTACTGTGATCTGTATATATATTTCCAGGAATTGGTGGTTGTGTATGATAAAACGAACTTATCCTACTCGAAAGAACTGGTGTGAGCAGGGTATTACTTACATTTTTTTTCAACGTGTAATAGTGTTAATTAAAGGAGGACGACATCCAACATTAATATTTCAAAAGCACTGCGACAGTGAGTGCGTTGCTGTGAATTTAATACTGAATTATATTTTATTATACCTTACATATATTTCAAACAATTCTATTGGGTAAAACGTTATCACGTGACATGGAATAATTCAGTTAATTTTCATTCAATTGCAAGGAAGAACGAATAACCCTAAAAATTTACACCAGCGTTGAATAACCCTATTATTCACCGGCGAATAACCTTTTTAGTTTGTTGATTTGTACCCATGGAAATGACGTCACAGACGTAAATAAACAAAATGGCAACGTTCAAGTTACAGGAAGCCCATTGATCGAGAGAAGAGGAAATAAGGCTTTTGACGTGCATCGTGTGCCGATGATATCTCTAATAACGGTCCTTTTCAGGACCATCAATATTTTACAAAAAGAATCTACCTTTGTTGTACATACGAGAATTCTAAGACACAAATTACATGTATTTTTGAACGTCAACTTGTGTTTGTTACTGACTCAAGTAAGGGTAAGTGCTTTTACAATGATCCAAAATGCCCTTCCACTGTTAGTTCGATCAGAGACATATAATACAAGAGATTCGCAACTCGGCGAAATCCCGTAATAACACGCGGCCACTAGTCAAACCTCGCGAGTTCTCCTTAGGTAATAAAGTCATTAATAAAAGTATTAAAAGTACTCGAAGTAAGGACGAATGTTTAAGCATAACATAAACTGTTTCAGTGTTAAATTTATCATAATTAATTAAATATAATTTGAGTACATATATAATTATTTATTTTAATGTAATTTTGATTTTAGATTTGTATTATTGAAAAAGAGACATAATTTGATATTGTATAAAAAAAAAACTGATATTAAATAATTAACACTTGATAAATTGTGTCAGAGTTCATTTTATTTGATAGTTACATAATGGGTTTCTATTGAATATACACCTGTCTCGGAGACATAATTTCACAGTGTGACATGTATATTAGGTTTGATTATTCGATGACCAGGTAAATCACGAACATGTTATAAATAATGAGTTTTAATTGACACCTTGTAAACAAGAAGTTGTCACACCACAGGTGTCCACACTCTTTCCAAAAATACAAGTCACAAAATGTATAATTAATTAATATGGAAAAAAACTTAATTTATTTGTTAATTAATTGTTAATCATGATAGGCTTTGTTTTTTATTCTTGATATTTATAAATTATTAAAATTTTATTTATTTTTATATTCCTCATTTATTGGGCTTTCATTGAAATTTTTTTCTGTAGGATTGTCGGTAAATGTTTGATTTCTAAGTGTTGTTTGACAGTTTTTTTGCATTGAGTTGTTTTTTTAAATGATTGTCGGTAAATTTATGGTTTCTTCATGTTCGAAGTGTGTATTGAGAATTAATATTTAAGAAAATTACAATTAATTTCTCATTTGAATAAAGCTTCATTCATGTGCACGCAATATGGAAAATTCCGATTTTATTTCGTGGGATGACGATCTTAATTTCGTGGGATGACAATCTTAATTTCGTGGGATGACAATCTTAATAGTTACGACTTAGATATACTCCTAGTTGAATAAACTGATAACGAACTCTTTGTTGATAGTGAAAAGGACGAAAACATAAGCGAGAGACCCACCAACAAAAACAATTGACAATACTGCATACATAGATGGATATGTGTGTCCTCGAAGCAACAAAAAATCTATAAAAAAAACACAGGTCATACATCAAAGCAACACGGAAGACACTATTTAAAAAGTATTTTATACACAGAATGAAAAATGAATAACAAAATGCAGGCTATAAATTTCATAGTGCACAAAAAAGAAGGACTGATTTAAGGAAATTTGTCCATGAACAATTTCAATATTTAGCCAGTTTAATAAAAAATTTCGGGTATCAATCAGAAAAAATCGCCACATTGTTGGATCAAATTTTACGAAAATAGTCTTGTTTTCACGAAACAACATTTGGGAGTACTATTGGCCCATAAAATTATATATTTATTAGCATATTTTCAAGTTTTAAGAAAAAAATTGGGAGATCAAATGGTTTCTACGGCAATAGGTGAAGTAAAATGGGCCGAGTTTTAACTTTGTTTGTATTTGATTAATCTCATCATTAGAACACATTTTATCAATAACAAATTATTAGAATTAGTTTTTTGTAACTTTTAAATATACTTGCATGCTTTAGCTGTGAAAGGTATCGGCATTATCCATTAGAAAAATCGTGAGGCGTAGAACCTTTTACACAACAATACGGGTTATTACCCATAAATCCATCGGATTAATCGGCTTTCCGGTGGCCACGTCATTTCATTGGCTGTTATATAGACTCTACTAGAGTTGCGAATCTCTTGTATTATATATCTCTGGTTCGATATAATAAAACAATTGTGGCCTCTTAGAAGCGATGAATATCCAAAATTGTCAACCCTTAAAAGTAATTTCACTTCGGGCTGCGCCCTCAGTGAAATAACCTTCTCGTGTTGACAATTTTGGATATTCACCTTTTCAACGGGCCATAATTGTATAGTATAACTTCTTTGTCGCATTTTCCCGTGATTTTCAAGTGCACCGTTTTTGGAGTATCCTGTGAAAGAATTTTTTTTTTTGTGATTTTATTATCTAGAGTATTCTACTTAGTTAAGGGAGGACACATATTTAGACCCATAACATAAAAAGAAGACCTTTATGGACTCTTTTTCTTGGGGGTATAGTTATGTATAGAGTAGAGGTTGAACACAGTGTTTACAATTTCACGGGTAATAAGGTCAGATCGATTGCATGTTTACTTGCAGTGTGAACGCAGTGATTCAGTATGTTCTAAATTAGTCAACCAATACTTGGTCATGTTTTATGAACACTTTAAAACCCTCGGCTACGCCTCTGTACATGAGATTTGTTCACTCGAGTAAACTACATGTAGGAGTAATATAAATGTTCAGTACATAGAATTGGATCGAAAATGTCTCTGTTTATCTCTCTAACAATTAGACGCAATTCATCCGTTTTTGTTGGAAAAAGGGGGGAGGGGTATATTAAATAAATATTTTAATTCCAAATTCCTTGAGAAAAAAAATTCAGAAAGGAAGTAAAAAGTAAGTGTTTCCACTAAATATAAGGGATTTAGATAAATTCTAAGTCAAGAACATATGTTTATCTGACTAATGTCTGATTATCATCGGAGATGTGAGATTTAGTGCTCACTGTTCTAAAGGTATCTGCGCTTATATAATATGATAATTAGTCATTAAACAGGAAAAATATTCTATATATGGGTCACGTCTGTGTTTATAGTATCATCACACGGTCAGTCTGGGGCTTTTGTGTCCGACCACATTTTAATTTATATATTATTGGTCTTTTTATACAGCAAACTTCTTTTCCTTATATATTTTCCCGCCATTCTCGCAATATTCAATTAATACCATATATATTACAGAATGCATTATCACATGTAATCTGTAATATAAATTCTGTCCTTGTGGGTGGTTTGTGTTTGTCTACTCAGAAACAAGGGGTATGTTTATAGCTAGAAATATTCTAGATTTGAATCAATGATAGTAAGAGTATATAGGTACTGCTCAGTTAACTAACTTTTAACCTGATTTTATCATCCAGAATCTGGTGTAAATACTGTACAGTGATATTTTATCCATAACGTTTGTCAATACGAAACTACTCAGAAGAGGTGTGACGTAGAGTTATATTATTCAACATCATCGTTTTTTTCCTCTAATTCTTTTTCCTTGTAGTCTTTAATTGCAACTTTACAGTTTACATTATGATATTATAAGAGTGTAAAGGTTAATTTTTATTGCCTATATTGGAAAAAAATATTGAAAAAAAACTTGTTTATTTTTGTTGTTCGTTGTATTGTATTTCAACAGAGACATATATTATATGTCTCTGATTTCAATAAACTATGTACAGCACACTATGACTCTGTAGACTTTTTTTCCATAACTGTCACTTTTTAGTTTAATATAAATATACAATACGTGTGCCGGAAAATCAAATCAAAACGGAACCAAGGACAGGGTGTTAGAAAATCTAATTGACTTCCGCTTCGTCGACAACTCCTCCTCACAAATGTGATGTGAATTTTACTGAAGAATCCCTGTTATTCATACAATGATTAAAGCTATTCTAGTATTTAATAATCATGGGAAACCAAGAATGTCAAAATTTTACCAGTTTTATGTAAGTCAAAGCGAAATTATTGCATTGTTAATTGTATCCAGCGTCATAGACAAAATTATGATTGGGATTTCCACAGACTTATCTTCCCGACAGTCAGGGATATAACTCTATAGGGTTATTACAGATACTTTCATGAGTTGTCTACTCTTTATTCCTTAAATTTTCTAAATCTGTAATAACACATGTTTGTTATTTGTAAAATAAATCAAAAATATTTAAATCTATAGTGGGCTCTAGGGAACTCTTGAGACTTTGCGCAGAAACTAAATACATAGCCTTGATAACTAAAACCATGGTAATTCAATGAGATGAGGCTTTTAAGGGATCAACTTAGCTGTAATAACAAGGCTTAGTTATTAAAGGAATGTAACTTATTATATGAGACACTTGGGAATTACTGGGAAGCTTGCGCAGAACCTCATTAGATGCTCTGGTCATTATTTCTTACAGTAAATTAAAATACATTGTAATTAAGCATGATGTATGTCTGGTCAAATGCTTTGGAGTGATGTAGAGAAGCTGTGATAACACCCTTTAGTTATTACAAGCATATTTTTTCTGTAATAACATAGGTGTAGTATGCATAATTGGCAAACTGTGAACTGTTATATCTTTCTATAGCTGAGTATACTTAAAGACAATAGTAATATCAATAGAACTTGTATACATTTTAACTAAACTAATGATGTATATTGTCCCTATGAAACATGTAACATACATATGTTATCACAGTTCTTTGACTTTTTAGTCCACAATAACAAATGTATGTTATTTTTCTGTAATAACCCTATAGAGTTATATCCCTGACTGGACTTCCGTCATAATTTGTCACTTATATGGAACCGCTAACGTTAATAACTTTGCCATGAGTGATTTTTTACAAATAAAAAAAAGACCAATATAGTGAGAAAAAATCTCTAGACCATTCAATTTGATTCACAATGACAATGTATTTAAACATGTGGAAGGGTAAAAGAGGACTTTGTGTACTCTAAATACTAGGGTAAGAACTAATGTCAGGAACAGATTCTCTCTTGAAAACTGGTGATGAGCAATTTTTGATGGAAGCAATGCAGGGACCACTTTCCAGACGTTTCTGCCACACAACCAGTTCGGCCATGTCGGCCATACCTAACTTTTGGCCATAGTACCAGTAGGCCAACCTGATGTCGAATTGGCCACACTATTTAATAATGTTCTTAACATAAATACAGTTGTCTTTCGTCCTTGAAATCGGTTGACTTGAAATTTTGGATGAGTCGAACTTAATTTACGGTCCCAAGGTTAACAAAAGCATTCAAATTGCATTATTTATCTCAAACTAATACACATATGTCAAAACATGACCTCAGGGATTTAAATGGATTGAAGAGTTCACCTAACAATACACATGTAATTATATTTCCGGTCACTGACCAGTGACCACTCTATTGATTTATGACATTCTTTTTCCACAAGGGTTTACCTAAGATTATCTGTCATTGCTATGATAAATAATTAGTGATTACAGTGTTCAGTCAGGGGACTTACTTAAATGAGTGATTTTCTAAATCACTGATTCAAGTAACATTATGTCCATAAAGATTGGAAGTAAGAGTTGCCTTTCTTTAATAATCACCTATTTAAGTAGTACAAATTAATCACTAGACTAAGTGATTTAATTTTATTGTAGCTTTAAATATAGAATACTAATGATCCAGGGACTAATTATGTTGCTAAAATTATCAGAACCAACATCTGTGTTGATAGGATGACCGGGTCATGTCAGGTGATGACCTTGTACTAAACCTAGGATAATGACATAAACATCACTTGTTTAAGTATCATACCTCAATTTCCTTCCAAAAAATCACTTCTTAAAGTATCATTATTTTAATAACCCCCACTAATTTCAACCCCCCCGAACAGTGAAATTTTGATCACGAACAGTAGAATTTTATTACATAATCTATAAGATGAAACCTTGAATTTTACAGGAAAAATAATCCCACTGCTGGGAAAAATCTGTTAAGAAAGTATCAGTTCATTATGTAAAGCCATTTTTATAGCATTTTTTCAACTAAAATAGAATTTGCAGCTAAATGATTGCATCAAAGGCATAAACCTTGCTGCTTAAAAGAAGCAAAAAGTTCATTTTTTTCAATTTTACTAATGAAAAGATATTATCTAAACCTATGTGTTTAAAATTTTGGTAAAACTACAAAATCACAATTTGTGACAAAACTTCGAATTTGCTACTTAAATAAGTGATTTAAAAATCACTTATTTCAATAAGTCCCCTGACTGTTATAGTTTATGAAAAATTATTTTAAAAGTCTGAAAAATAATAACAAGTAATCATTAGGGATTTCAACTCGGTGAATAATTACTAATTAATACTCGTTTCTTTTATTGAGCGATAATCGAGTACTTGCTCTGAAATATATCTACAACATGGAAACACAAAAATACGTATTTTAAATTCTGTGGTTTGTTGTACAACGGATGAAAAACCATCTACATAAGTATCTGGGACAAGGAATTACACACCATAATTAATAGCTCATTACCTACAAGTACTAATTAAGTGAAAAAAAATAATCGAATCAATATAATTTAATGAACATATGCACCTATTTAAGGAAAAACCATATCAAACAATAGTGATCAAAAGTATTTGGTAATCGTTAAGAAAACACATTTAATGTTTACAAAGGCATAAGGATTAGAGGCTTAACTATTCACTGAGGTTCACCATAGGATGCAACTAATTTCTTTTATTTGGAAACATTTTCTTGTCAAAGTCTTGCAGACGAAAATATTTGTTCTGACGGTACCGATGTGACAGAATGGCTAAGACATGTTAAGTTTAAAGTGTTAGCCTTGGTATACGTAAAGCCAACGTATTTTCAGAGGCATTTTAAATGACAATTTAGGTATAAAACCACTAATTCATAGCCCCATTGCTTTCTATGTTAAATTCTGCAATTTCAAGCATAAATGGCTACTTTATCTTAATTTCAAATAAAGTGGCAGTTATTTCATGTCTAAACTGTACCTTATGCTGACTTGTGCTGAAAAAATCAACATACCTTTAATTGCATATTAGAGCGTACTGGTTCCCGGAAGTTTGATAGTACAAAAACAGGAACTTCTGATCTGAACAACAGGCCAAATGAGCCCTCCTATTAAAATTTCCTATACTTCTTTATTATTCAAATAAAACTTTCAACAAGGGTTCTACAGTGACCCCAAGTCCCCAACCTTTCATTTGATACTAAAACTACCCAAATATTTCCACTATTGACAAAGATGCAGCTATGCGTAGGAACTATTTTGCTTAAAATATGTACTACTTTCTTGTATGTTCTTTCCGACCGGGCCTGAATTAGTGGTTCTATACCTATAACAGCACCAACTTTGTTATATTGACTTCTGCTTGACTTTATTTCCTTCTATGATCTTTTTTTAGCATAGAAAAACACATAAAGCTTTTGTCAAAACACTATATCACTGAATTCAAGCTCAAATTGGACTGGTATTAACATATGCGTTAAACAAAGAAAACTACATATGGATACTAATAGTGACAGATATGACACTTTTTCAATTTTTACCAGTTCTGATTTGTTAATATCTACTCAAATAACAGTGTTCTTACCTATATGTCTTATTTTTATCAGAGATTCTTCCTTGAATATAAATACAGTGGTCCAAACATAAAATATAATTGATAATTTTGTCCCCCCTTTTTTCTACATGTTGGAAAAGGAGAGTGATTTGGTAAAAAAAACCATACTTTTATGTATAAACATGGATCAACAAGAGCAATTTATGTATCTCCAAGCTAGACAACTTGCTAAAATGGTCATAAAATGCATTTCAAGTGAGATTTTGGAATTCCTATATAAGTATACACCAATAATCCTTGAAATAAATAATTCACCAAGAAACACAATAAAACATGAACACTCACTAGATAATATGACCAAAAACAATATTTATACTATAAACTAGTCATAATATACAAGTTTCATTGGTTTCAGTGTTAGATAATCCAAAAATTTAAATTTCAGGTAAAATCTTAACTGTGTGCATGCTAAATGACCAAAAAAGGCTAAAATACCTTCTTGTAGTAATTTGAGGGCTGTAATTTGACACTAAAATAATTGTTACATAAAAAAAATAATGTAACATGATTTCTGACAACAAATATGACCAATTTTCACTGTAAAGGGTATGATTTCTAAAAATAGAATTTCACATGCCTGTCAGTAATAGGTATAAAACCACTAATTCATAGCCCCATTGCTTTCTATGTTAAATTCTGCAATTTCAAGCATAAATGGCTACTTTATCTTAATTTCAAATAAAGTGGCAGTTATTTCATGTCTAAACTGTACCTTATGCTGACTTGTGCTGAAAAAATCAACATACCTTTAATTGCATATTAGAGCGTACTGGTTCCCGGAAGTTTGATAGTACAAAAACAGGAACTTCTGATCTGAACAACAGGCCAAATGAGCCCTCCTATTAAAACTTCCTATACTTCTTTATTATTCAAATAAAAGTTTCAACAAGGGTTCTACAGTGACCCCAAGTCCCCAACCTTTCATTTGATACTAAAACTACCCAAATATTTCCACTATTGACAAAGATGCAGCTATGCGTAGGAACTATTTTGCTTAAAATATGTACTACTTTCTTGTATGTTCTTTCCGACCGGGCCTGAATTAGTGGTTCTATACCTATAACAGCACCAACTTTGTTATATTGACTTCTGCTTGACTTTATTTCCTTCTATGATCTATTTTTAGCATAGAAAAACACATAAAGCTTTTGTCAAAACACTATATCACTGAATTCAAGCTCAAATTGGACTGGTATTAACATATGCGTTAAACAAAGAAAACTACATATGGATACTAATAGTGACAGATATGACACTTTTTCAATTTTTACCAGTTCTGATTTGTTAATATCTACTCAAATAACAGTGTTCTTACCTATATGTCTTATTTTTATCAGAGATTCTTCCTTGAATATAAATACAGTGGTCCAAACATAAAATATAATTGATAATTTTGTCCCCCCTTTTTTCTACATGTTGGAAAAGGAGAGTGATTTGGTAAAAAAAACCATACTTTTATGTATAAACATGGATCAACAAGAGCAATTTATGTATCTCCAAGCTAGACAACTTGCTAAAATGGTCATAAAATGCATTTCAAGTGAGATTTTGGAATTCCTATATAAGTATACACCAATAATCCTTGAAATAAATAATTCACCAAGAAACACAATAAAACATGAACACTCACTAGATAATATGACCAAAAACAATATTTATACTATAAACTAGTCATAATATACAAGTTTCATTGGTTTCAGTGTTAGATAATCCAAAAATTTAAATTTCAGGTAAAATCTTAACTGTGTGCATGCTAAATGACCAAAAAAGGCTAAAATACCTTCTTGTAGTAATTTGAGGGCTGTAATTTGACACTAAAATAATTGTTACATAAAAAAAATAATGTAACATGATTTCTGACAACAAATATGACCAATTTTCACTGTAAAGGGTATGATTTCTAAAAATAGAATTTCACATGCCTGTCAGTAATAGGTATAAAACCACTAATTCATAGCCCCATTGCTTTCTATGTTAAATTCTGCAATTTCAAGCATAAATGGCTACTTTATCTTAATTTCAAATAAAGTGGCAGTTATTTCATGTCTAAACTGTACCTTATGCTGACTTGTGCTGAAAAAATCAACATACCTTTAATTGCATATTAGAGCGTACTGGTTCCCGGAAGTTTGATAGTACAAAAACAGGAACTTCTGATCTGAACAACAGGCCAAATGAGCCCTCCTATTAAAATTTCCTATACTTCTTTATTATTCAAATAAAAGTTTCAACAAGGGTTCTACAGTGACCCCAAGTCCCCAACCTTTCATTTGATACTAAAACTACCCAAATATTTCCACTATTGACAAAGATGCAGCTATGCGTAGGAACTATTTTGCTTAAAATATGTACTACTTTCTTGTATGTTCTTTCCGACCGGGCCTGAATTAGTGGTTCTATACCTATAATAGCACAAGCATTCGAAACAAAATCTATTTTATTTACTAATATGATTAATCAGTGATGTCTATTTAATTTTCAGAAAGAGGTTCTCAAGAAGATCAATTTTATATAAAGAAAACAGCAATATTGTAACAGGAAACCGATTAGTCGAGTATTGTTTTGGCATTCGATCCTCGGTACTACAGAGCGATACTCGAATACTAGAGTACTCGTTGACATCCCTAGTAATCATACATTTATGAGCTTGATTGTACATAAAGTAGAGATTAAGACTAAGTGATCAAAACTACTCAATCTGCGTCTTTTAATCTTTTTGTAATTTATTTTGAAGAAAAAGATTGAAATAAAAGAAAATGAAAAGAAATCTAAATTTTCTTAAATCTCTTGTATACATGGTATATGAGAATGAACAATTTTATCAACTTTAAATAATGCTAAGATCAATTGTAAATTACTCTCTCGGCTTAAAACCACAGGAATAAATTGTAACTGTACAAAGAAATGAATAAGAGACGAAAATCATATAATTTTATTATAATAATAAAGAACATTATTTACATACAGATACATCGATCTCATGACCAGAATATCGATCCCCTATCCATATTCATCTGGACTTATTTTAGCCTTACCAAGCTAAGCAAGAGTTCTGACCTTTGGTCTGTCAAACTTCTGGTATACGTTTGAGTCGAACTACAGGTATCTCAAAATATTTTTCTGGTCCGGTTGACTTCAAGATAACGAGAGTCCACTGTATAAGCATTACATGTTTGGACAGAAGTTTGTTTTGAAAAGGAATATAATTTAACAAAAACTCATATAATGTCAAACAAGTTTTGTTTAAAGAATTGCTGGTCATTGAAAGTGTCTAACTTACCAATGCAGTAATTAACAAATTTTAAGTTCTAACTTTGTACTTATTTTTTTTTCCCTCAGCCAGAAGATTTACAGCAACAGATAATCCGAGAAACATTCCATCTGGTATCTAAAAGAGACGATAATGTGTGTAACTTTCTAGAAGGTGGAACGTGAGTAGTAAATATAAAAATAAGAAGTTGTGATATGATTGCTAATGAGACAGCTCTCCACCAGAGACCAAATTAGTAGAAGTTAACAACTATAGGTCATTGTACTGCTTTCAACATTGAGCAAAACCCATACTGCATGATAAGCTATAAAAGGCCCCGAAATGACAAACATAAAACAATTCAAAAGAGAATAGTAACAGCTTGATTTATGTACAAAACAATTAATGAAAAACAAATATGATATACAGCAACAAAGGACAACCACTGCATAAAAGGCTCCTGACATGGGACAGCACATACAGAATGTGACTGGGTTAAACATGTTTGCCAACATTCTTGTTTATGGTTTTCTTTTCAGATTGATTGGTAGATCAGCCTCCATGTACAAGTTAATATTCAGACGTTTTGCATGCTATGTTATATTTTATTTGCAGATTCATTGGTCATGTTGGTAGATCAGCTTACATGCACAAGTTAATGTTCAGACATTTTACATGCTATGCTATATTTTATTTGCAGGTTGATCGGAGGGTCAGACTATAAGTTAATATACAGACATTATGCTACGTTATATTTCGTTTTCTGTGTTGACTCATCAGAAAGTGAGCTGGGTATTTTAGATTTGATACAGGTTTGTTGATTTTTAAAATTTTGAAGTTTTAGCCTGAATAACTATGGATTATATTCCAAGTTTACATTTTCATTGAAAATTCTCAAAATACATTTTTGTACATTGATTTAAAATTGAGGATAGCTCATTTCATTGAAAACCATTGCATAATAATTTTTGCTAGACTACTGGTTGTATCTGTTACAAGTTAAACAGAACCGCAGTAATTCCTGCAAAAGCAAGCCCCTTATAAGAAATCTCGTCTCCAATCACTTGTCATTAGGGTAAATTAAATGGCCAATATCTTAGGTTTACTGGCTTTTTATCCTTAAAATGTACAAGACATCTATCAGTCCTTTTATATTTGTTTCTACAGGGTTTAACTGGGTAACAACGTTACAATCTCAGCAAAATATAAATAAGCTATTCTTAAATTAAAACTTAATTACCCTATAATCAACAGAACCAAATGAAAACAAATAATGCATCTGAGTACATGAATAAGTTATACTACTTTTCCTATGTCAATTGCAAGTGTTAATATAAAGATGTATTTCTAAAACCAACCCCTCAAAGGATGCCCTGTCTGCTAACAGATAGTTGACTGACTTTTATTCACTTTTTTTGCTTTGTTGCTACAGATTGGGCCTTCATTGCCTTAATGCTTACTGTTACTAATGAGAAAATGTAAAAACTTTTTAAAACTATTTCCTAATAAATGTAATAGCATCAAGGTCTTGACTTAAATCAAAATCACAAGGTTTGACAACTTTCTACTGATATTTTATTTTTGGCAATTTTAAAAACTAGGTGGACCCACATCTATATAATTCATTATATTGTTTTAATAGGTGATGTACACAAGACAGAAAAAAATACCTATAGTTTTAGAGAGAGAATATGACTAGGTTTCGTAGTGGTTCCCAAGGCTTTCAGAAATCAACTGGACATTTGTTCCATTAAACCATTCTTCTTAACTGGACCAGACTCTTTTTTTAAAGAACATTTACACATATGATTTGGATAAAATTTTACTGGTTATTTGGTTCAGTAATGCATATCACTTAACTGGACCAGACAAATCTTTACTGGCTTTTGCCCATTGTCCAGCGACCTTGGGAATGACTTTTTTATGTGAAGTACTATAATTCTGTTTTCGGGATACCTACAATTTTTGGAGAGAATTTAAAGTTTGTGGCTATATTTCAGTTCAAAAGTTTAATATACATGTATTAACTGTACAAAAAAATGATAATGTTTATAAAATTATAAGTGCACCAACTTTCAGTTTTGAGGTGACATCACGTAGAGATGTGAACAACTGCCAGGGGAGATAACTGCAGTTAATAAACCTGCTCAGATTACTGACCTTAATCTGACTTGTACTAGGTCGTGTAACAGATCATTGATAAAGTATCATTTTGGAAGGAATTATGTACAGTTAAATAAATTACACATTAGGATTTTTTTTATGCAAAATGTTGAAGAAATTATTATATAGGAAACATTGAAAACAAATGTCAGCATGTCATTAGTTTAGTTCGTTAGAAAATTATTCTTTGCAATATTTCTGAACAGCCTTAACCTTTATGAACCATTCAACTGTTCATCAAAATATATACATAAAGGCAAGTAACATAAGTTTTGTTTGCATAAAACCTAACAGATGCATATTTTTTCAAAGTCGAAAAGAAATACTTCTCTTTTTTGCTATAGTTCGTGATATATTTGCATAGGAAACAGTACTAAATCTTTCTATATTGATCTTTTTATACAGGTGTTTGTAGAAACATTAGATAAATGCTTTGAAAATGTATGTGAACTGGACCTCATATTTCATGTTGATAAGGTAAGCTTGTCCCAGGTATGACTGGATACCAGTTTTTCACAAGTATATCTAAAGACCACTGTATAATCTTAGCTAGATAAACCAGATAAGTTGTGGTACTAATTTAAGATGATCTTACTTTTTTCTTTAATTCATTAAATTGTATATAAATAAGAAAAACCTACTTTAATTTTGATAAAAACAAATATAGATATTCTTAATAGAAAAGATGGTATATGGTGTATTTATACACAACACTAAATGAATATATACACACACTTGCCAAACCAAAATCAAATAAACAGTGCTTTTATTGTTATTCTTTATCTCAAGGTCCAAATGAGGCCTTTAACATGACACAAAAGATCATTCTCAAGTCCAAATGAGGCCTTTAACATGACACAAAAGATCATTCTCAAGTCCAAATGAGGCCTTTAACATGACACAAAAGATCATACTCAAGTCCAAATGAGGCCTTTAACATGACACAAAAGATCATTCTCAGGGTCCAAACAAGGCCTTTAACATGACACAAAAGATCATACTCAAGTCCAAATGAGGCCTTTAACATGACACAAAAGATCATTCTCAGGGTCCAAACAAGGCCTTTAACATGACACAAAAGCTCAGTGCAATACAACATGATTTCTGTGTTAGATGTCAATAATACTATACTTAATATGAATTAAAGAACACATGTAAGACATGTACATATTGTTGTAAAATAAAAAAAATTTCCAATTAAGAAAATTTTCTATTATAGACTAGTATTATGACCAAAAGTAGAATAAGAGTGTAAAATATACAACATGGCAATGAAAACTCGACACAATTTTGATCTGAATTAGTCTGAAAAGGGGGATTCAGAATTAGAAAAAGAGTTGATCAATGTCTTTCGGTTAATGTTCATACATTTTCGTTGGACAAATTTAATACTTTCAAAATTTTGCTGTGCATTACTAAAGATCTTTTGAATTGACTGCTAAAAATGATGTGAAAATAATAAAAAGTCGAAGGGTAAAAAAAAAGAAATTCTTAAACAAGGCAATTTAGAGCTTACAATATTGTATAGACACAAGTCTTTTGTTTAAGACTGTATGTTAACTTATAGATATCTTTTGATTATTAATGTTTGGGTGCTCTCTCATTAAGGTATACACCACATCACTTTTTATTCACTGAAAGTTTTTAATGTTCAGACATTGAATATCAAAATGACCATTTCAGCCAAATTCATCAAAAAATTAAAAGCTTGTTTTATACTGGTTATAGGTTCATTACATTCTTGGTGAGCTTGTTATGGGAGGAATGGTTCTAGAAACAAATATGACAGAAATTATGACCAGAATAGAGGAACAAAATAAGTTGGAAAAGTCAGAGGTATGATCCAGTCTTATCTTCTTATTTAAATCGTACCACTTTCATTCATACTGTACATGTTAAAACCAGACCTGGTCCTACTCAGACGAAAATAAAACTGAAATATCACTACTATTTAGATACTGTTTAATAAAGATACTCAGTTGAAAAACCAAAACATGAAAAGGAGAATGTTAAATTAAGATGAAAAGAATCAGGTCTGGTAAAACTAAGGTGTTTTGTTTTTATATATGGACAAAAATAGATTCTGAACTAACCATGCACCTATCTATGTAGTTATTCATATTCAGAATAGTTAAAACTTGTTCATTAATTGTGGCCCCTTTATCATGTTTATGGAACAGTTTAAGAATAATTCAGATGTAGTCTAAGACCGATTAGTCTTTGTCAACTCAGGCCAAACAAAAGATATGTCTGTTTACGTTTTCTTCCCTCAGAAAAATGGGGTATAGTATGTAGAATTTTGTTTTTATTTTGATGAATATTCTTATATTGAGTATATTGGAACCATATGCAATTTTGTCACAATTGACCACTGAAAAAGGGCAAGCAAAAAAAAACTATAGGGTAGGCATTTTGAGTCATAAAAAGTAGTGTAGGTTGGGAAGAGTAATAGAGAGAATACTGACATTAGGAGGCCTAGGTGTAGGTTGGGAAGAGTAATAGAGAGAATACTGACATTAGGAGGTCTAGGTGTAGGCTGGGAAGAGTATTAGAGAGAATACTGACATTAGGAGGCCTAGGTGTAGGTTGGAAAGAGTAATAGAGAGAATACTGACATTAGGAGGTCTAGATGTAGGCTGGGAAGAGTAATAGAGAGAATACTGACATTAGGAGGTCTAGGTGTAGGTTGGGAAGAGTAATAGAGAGAATACTGACATTAGGAGGTCTAGGTGTAGGCTGGGAAGAGTAATAGAGAGAATACTGACATTAGGAGGTCTAGGTGTAGGTTGGGAAGATAGAGAGAATACTGACATTAGGAGGTCTAGGTGTAGGCTGGGAAGAGTAATAGAGAGAATACTGACTTTAGGAGGTCTAGGTGTAGGTTGGGAAGATAGAGAGAATACTGACATTAGGAGGTCTAGGTGTAGGCTGGGAAGAGTAATAGAGAGAATACTGACATTAGGAGGTCTAGGTGTAGGTTGGGAAGAGTAATAGAGAGAATACTGACATTAGGAGGTCTAGGTGTAGGCTGGGAAGAGTAATAGAGAGAATACTGACATTAGGAGGTCTAGGTGTAGGTTGGGAAGAGTAATAGAGAGAATACTGACATTAGAAGGTCTAGGTGTAGGTTGGGAAGAGTAATAGAGAGAATACTGACATTAGGAGGTCTAGGTGTAGGCTGGGAAGAGTAATAGAGAGAATACTGACATTAGGAGGCCTAGGTGTAGGCTGGGAAGAGTAATAGAGAGAATACTGACATTAGGAGGGCTAGGTGTAGGTTGGGAAGAGTAATAGAGAGAATACTGACATTAGGAGGTCTAGGTGTAGGTTGGGAAGAGTAATAGAGAGAATACTGACATTAGGAGGTCTAGGTGTAGGTTGGGAAGATAGAGAGAATACTGACATTAGGAGGTCTAGGTGTAGGTTGGGAAGAGTAATAGAGAGAATACTGACATTAGGAGGTCTAGGTGTAGGTTGGGAAGAGTGATAGAGAGAATACTGACATTAGGAGGTCTAGATGTAGGTTGGGAAGATAGAGAGAATACTGACATTAGGAGGTCTAGGTGTAGGCTGGGAAGAGTAATAGAGAGAATACTGACATTAGGAGGCCTAGGTGTAGGTTGGGAAGAGTAATAGAGAGAATACTGACATTAGGATGTCTAGGTGTAGGCTGGGAAGAGTAATAGAGAGAATACTGACATTAGGAGGGCTAGGTGTAGGTTGGGAAGAGTAATAGAGAGAATACTGACATTAGGAGGTCTAGGTGTAGGCTGGGAAGATAGAGAGAATACTGACATTAGGAGGTCTAGGTGTAGGTTGGGAAGATAGAGAGAATACTGACATTAGGAGGTCTAAGTGTAGATTGGGAAGAGTAATAGAGAGAATACTGACATTAGGAGGTCTAGGTGTTGTTTGGGAAGAGTAATAGAGAGAATACTGACATTAGGAGGTCTGGGTGTAGGTTGGGAAGAGTAATAGAGAGAATACTGACATTAGGAGGTCTAGGTGTAGGCTGGGAAGAGTAATAGAGAGAATACTGACATAAGGAGGTCTAGGTGTAGGTTGGGAAGATAGAGAGAATACTGACATTAGGAGGTCTAGGTGTAGGCTGGGAAGAGTAATAGAGCGAATACTGACATTATGAGGTCTAGGTGTAGGTTGGGAAGAATAATAGAGAGATTACTGACATTAGGAGGCCTAGGTGTAGGTTGGGAAGAGTAATAGAGAGAATACTGACATTAGGAGGTCTAGGTGTAGGTTGGGAAGAGTAAGAGAGAGAATACTGACATTAGGAGGTCTAGGTGTAGGTTGGGAAGATAGAGAGAATACTGACATTAGGAGGTCTAGGTGTAGGCTGGGAAGAGTAATAGAGAGAATACTGACATTAGGAGGTCTAGGTGTAGGCTGGGAAGAGTAATAGAGAGAATACTGACATTAGAAGGGCTAGGTGTAGGTTGGGAAGATAGAGAGAATACTGACATTAGGAGGTCTAGGTGTAGGCTGGAAAGAGTAATAGAGAGAATACTGACATTAGGAGGTCTAGGTGTAGGCTGGGAAGAGTAATAGAGAGAATACTGACATTAGGAGGGCTAGGTGTAGGTTGGGAAGAGTAATAGAGAGAATACTGACATTAGGAGGTCTAGGTGTAGGTTGGGAACCCTAACCACAAATAATCGTCATTTCAGTAAAAGATTAACTTTCATCTTTAAAAAAGTATTATGCTTTCTGAAAAATTGTATTTTTTCCACTTTTAGTACTTTATCACAGACTAATAACTTTAATTTTACATGTAAATTAAAAATAGATAATCCATCAAATCTCCAATATAAATTTATCACTAGAGCCCCAAAACAAAATCTCCAATATAGATTTAAGCTTTATTTATTACTAGAGCCCAATACAAAATCTCCAATATAGATTTAAGCTTTATTTATTACTAGAGCCCCAATACAAAATCTCCAATATAAATTTAAGCTTTATTTATTACTAGAGTCCCAATACAGTAACTTTTATATAAGCTTATTCATTTTCTTATATGGACTGCTTTCACATTAAGCAAAAGAATAATTTGACAAAACCTCTGGCGGAATTCAAATTTGAAATTTCAGAAAAGGAATTAGGGTTCGAGTCTTAAGTGGTGAGGTAAGAAAAAAGGTCTTGTTTTGGTTGTTAAGCTTCTACCCACAGTGTGTATTGCTTTCTGATTGGAATTTGAATATTTTTAGACAAAAAACTAACAAATAGCATACAATATTGAAATGACCTTAGTATTAATACTTTTCAAGTTTATATACAAGCATGAATTGAATGAGATTTCTATTCTGTATCTAGGACTTATAAGAAAGGGCCTAATTTTTGCAAAATAAACCTCTTATCAGAAAAGTGTTCATTTTGAAGTATTTATTTTGGTCCATTTCTTTTTTGTAATGTAAAAGGTCATACTATAGGTCACTTTTCACAAAAAAAGCCTATAATCAAATTTGATTACAAGTTATACTTAAATGTTCAGGACTTGCACACATTTTTTCTCAAATCGTTTTTGGGGAAAAGTGTTGCTGTATTTTTATATACACTCATAAACATTATGTTGTCTACTGTAATTATTTGTAGGTTCACAAATTGTATGAAGTTTACACTATTTTTAGGTAACGTTCCAAAAGGCTGCGTTGGTAGGTTTTTATTTTTGGCTTTTTCAGAACTAAGCCTATGGGAAGACAAGATACAAGATTTTTATACATGTAATTTTATATGTGTTTGTGGAAACTAAGGTTCAAAATATAGTTAGTTATTGAATGTCTACTAATCTTCCATCTGCTTCAGAGATTCATATAGTGTATTTAATCTTGAATTTAAAAGTTTTTTGGTGGTCATAATTCAAATTTGAAATAAAATTTATAACTTTTTTTCTGCACTTGACCTAAAAGCAAATTCACCTAATTATTCATTTTTTACAGAAATGATTTTGTGTTTGGAAGTTTGGTTATTTTTGCCACTAAGTTGTAGTGTCCTATAGGTGTAGTCATGTCAGCCAATCTGACCCTCAGTCTAGTCATTCCTCTGCCATTTTTCACTTTTTCTTGCGATATTAAACTGGCTTCTGTTGTGATACTAAATAACCATGAGTTTCAGATGATTGTTTGTATTTTTACTCCACTCTTCAAGTTAAATTATCTTCTGGTATTTTGGTTGACTGATTTTTGGAATGTCATCATATAATGTCGAATTTCAGGTTGGTTTGTCATTTACTCCACTCTTCAAATTAAATTACCTTCAGGTTTTATCCTTGATTGATTTTTGGAATGTCATCATATAATGTCATCATGGTTCAGGTGGGGTTTGTATTTTACTCCACTTGACATCACTTCATATATATTCATGATATTTAGTGTGTCAATCTGAAATCAAGTCTTGACTTTTTTTCATTACTGTGGATTCATTTATTTTCGTGGGTACCAATTTAAGTGGATTGAGGAACGATTGTATTTTGGTGGATATTTGATTTTGTTATTTTTGCCAAAGTCTGCATACTAGCCTATAGAAAATTTGTGTTTCTTTAAACATTTAACTTCCTCGTTTACATTTACCCATGAAAACTGGTATCCCACTTTAACTTCCTCGTTCACATTTACCCATGAAAACTGGTATCCCACTTTAACTTCCTCGTTCACATTTACCCATGAAAACTGGTATCCCACTTTAACTTCTTTTTTCACATTTACCCATGAAAACTGGTATCCCACTTTAACTTCCTCGTTCACATTTACCCATGAAAACTGGTATCCCACTTTAACTTCTTTTTCACATTTACCCATGAAAACTGGTATCCCACTTTAACTTCCTCGTTCATATTTACTCATGAAAACTGGTATCCCACTTTAATTTCCTCGTTCATATTTACTCATGAAAACTGGTATCCCACTTTAACTTCTTCGTTTACATTTACCCATGAAAACTGGTATCCCACTTTAACTTCCTCGTTTACATTTACCCATGAAAACTGGTATCCCATAATAAATAATAAATTCACAGCATGTCTGCAGATGTCATTATGATGATGATGACTAACAGATAGAGATCTTGGTTTTTCATAGACGTTTACATCCATCCCTCTGCCATTCAAAAAATATATAAGTTCTCTAGACTTTTTCACTGTTACTTGCAATATTATTATATTAAACTGACTTCTGGTGTGTTATGAAATTATTACTTCAAATTATAAATGACTGGAATCTTGTCTTCCCATATGTATATGATTCTGGATATTGCTATAGCATGCAGCCTTTTTATTATTTACAGTAAATGTTGTATGTCATTAGCACATTTTACTCAATTTTGTTACCCTTATATATGATATTGTTCTTAACTAAGAGAGAGCATATATATGGCAGTCTGTAGGAGGGACAGATTTTTTACATTGGGAATATTATTATTGTGTGATTGTTTTGGTTTCCAAGTTTTTCTTTGGATAAAAAGATAAAGTATTTCTTAAAATTAAGAATTAAAATTATTAAAAATTAAAAATATGTGATGTTATTGCTTTTTGTATGACAAGAATAGATTTGGTGTCTTTTGTGTTTTTTTATTAAGTGAATTAATGCTCAAAACATTTTTCTCAGTTGAAGCTAACAAAAATTTGGTAAAAGTTTGTATTTTTAGATTATTCCTGAATATTCTCACAGGATGTGAAATGAATGAAATTAATTTTTAAAAAGTTGGTAAATAGGACATACTGGTACATTAATATCTTTAAAATATTCGTGTAATATTCACTGAGTTACTTTAAAATAACCATTATGCAGTCATATCTTTTATTCAATTTTCACAAATCTGTAAGATTTTGAATTTTTATTAGCTCACCTGGCCCCAGGCCAAGTGAGCTTTTCTCATCACTTGGCATCCGTTAACTTTAACAAAATCTTCTCTGATACTACTGGACCAAATTTAACCAAACTTGGCCTCAATCATCATTGGGGTATCTAGTTTTAAAAATGTGTCTGATGACCCCGCCTGCCATCCAAGATGGCCGACATGGCTAAAATAGAACATAGGGGTAAAGCAAGTTTCGTCTATTATTTTAAAATCGTTATAAATAGAGAAAATCTGACAGGGCAAAAATGTTCAGAATGTTGAGCTCTACCAATTGTTCATTGACGTCAAAACTGTCAGGCGACTTCTTACAGGAGTTATTGCCCTTAAATGGCAAATTTTACCCTTTTTTTTTTCATTTTTGCCTTTTATTTTGAAAACTTATAGTCCGTTTGACTTATATAAATCTTCAGAAAATAATTCTTAAAAATTCATTTTTACAAATAAACATTTTTTTTCTTGATGTATGTTAATGTATGATATATACGAACTCTGACTATGAATATCATAATTTTGGGCCAATAATCAAAAAAGTTACCCATTAGGTCTCTATGTTACTTCTATTTTTTTTTATATAAAATACTTGATGGAGTAAGTATGAATAATGTAACAGCCTTCCATGCAAAACAAAAACATTAGACATGTGTTTTAAACCTGTTTCATTGTACCATGAGACTTAACTCATTTAAATATCAAAGGACACTATACATGTCATGAAAAATGACCATCATCTAAGTTTTTTTATAACTGGTTTTATTGTCTCGCCTGCGAGGAAAGTCGCAGAAAGTGAGACATAGGTATTACTATCCGGCGGCGACGTCGGCGTAAACTATTTGTATAAAGCTTTATATTTCAGAAGGTAGTAGACCTGGATGCTTCATACTTTGTATGCAGATACCTTATGTTAAGAACTTTCCGTCTGTCATATGTCCAATGTCCTTGACCTTATTTTCATGGTTCAGCGACTGCTTGAAAAAAAAGTTTAGTTTTTTTGTTATGTAAATTTCTCACTTATTATGAGTAATAGGATAACTATATTTGGTATATGGGTTCCTTGCAACGTCTACATGTCCATCATACAGGGTTCACCTGACCTCAGCCTCATTTCATGGATCAGTGATCAAGGTTAAAGTTACGTGATTAGGTCCGTTTCTCAGATACTACAAGCAGTAGGTCAGCTATATGTGGTGTATGGAATGATTATAAGGGATACATGTCAGTCTGGCAGGTTTCATCTGACCTTGACCTCATTTTCATGGTTCATTGGTCAATGTTAAGTTTTTGTGTTTTGGTCTGTTTTTCTAATACTATAAGCCATTGGTCAACTATATTTGGTGTATGGAATGATTGTAAGGTGTACATGTCTGTCTGGCAGGTGTCATTTGTCCTTGACCTCATTTTCATGGTTCATTGGTCAATGTTAAGTTTTGTGTTTTGGTCTGTTTTTCTAATACTATAAGCAATAGGTCAACTATATTTGGTGTATGGAATGATTGTAAGGTGTACATGTCTGACTGGCAGGTGTCATTTGTCCTTGACCTCATTTTCATGGTTCATTGGTCAATGTTAAGTTTTTGTGTTTTGTTTGGTCTGTTTTTCTAATACTATAAGCAATAGGTCAACTATATTTGGTGTATGGAATGATTGTAAGGTGTACATGTCTGTCTGGCAGGTGTCATTTGTCCTTGACCTCATTTTCATGGTTCATTGGTCAATGTTAAGTTGCTCTTGTTTGGTCCTCTTCTCAGATACTATAAGATATAGGTCAACAATATGTGGTGTATGGAATGATTGTAAGGTGTGCACGTCTGTCTGACAGGTTTCATCTGACCGTGAGCTTATTTTCATGGTTCATTGGTCAATGTTAAGTTTCTGTTGTTTGGTCTTCTTCTCAGATGCTATAAGTAATAGGTCAACTATATTTGGTGTATGGAATGTATTTTATTATTTAACTGCTGATTACTTACATTGAAATAGATTATTTTATAAAAATCTTTAAATAACATTAATAATGATAATAAATAATAAAAACTTTTAAGGGATCATTACTAAACCGTGATTAACAAAAACATTGGAAGGTGTGAAAATGTTAAAATAAGGTCACTCATGCATGAATGTTTAACATAGAATACAGTTCACTCCAGTCCCTTCATAAAGATTAATTGGCTGAATATGTACAGATTGAAGAACTTTTGAAATTTTGTTTGCACAACAGAATCACATTTACTGATTTTTGATACATATGAAATAAGATAAGTATTGAGATAAGTAAAAAATATTTTAGCATAGCAACATAAATAGATAAATAGATAATATGAAAATATGACTTTTTACAATATTTTGATCAAAGATTGAAGATAATTTTATTTTTTTAATTTTTTTTTTGGGGTGTTTTTCTTAAACTATAAGTAATAGGTCAACTATATTTGTTGTATGGAAGAATTGTTAGCTGTACATGCCTGCCTAGCATGGTTCATCTGACCTTGACCTCATTTTCCTGGTTCATTGGTCAATGTTTAGTTTTCTTGGTTAATGTTAAGTTTATGTGACAGTTGTAATAAAGCTTTATATTTAGGACTATCAACATAATATCAATGATTAGTAAAGAAGGCGAGACATTTCAGCGTGTGCACTCTTGTATGATTTTATAAATGAACTTGCATGTATCTACAAAGATGTTATTTGTGGGGGAAAATATTATAATCAGATGTTTTATTTTGTTTTTATTCCTTACCAAATCTTAATTTTTGTTACCTTAATTTGATTATATATTTATATATATCTTATAAAAGAATATAAGCAAGCTTTTCATGCTTAAAGCATGATGACAGTATTAACAAAATGGAGAGCCTCTAAAAAGTTACACCAATAAGTATTTACAGAATACATTTAATATTTACTTTTTTCTTGAAAAAACACAGCTTATGACTTTCAAAATATGAAAATAAAATTAGATAAAATATAACAATAAAGATCTTTACTGATGAAAAGGAGAACTTTTTAATAAAATCTCTATACTGAATTTTGCATAAAACTACTTTGTAGTTTTTAAAAATGTTATACTAGTAATGTCCAGTGGAAAATATTACTAAGGTTACTCATAGAAATTGAACAATGAAAAATACAAAATCATGTATACAATAAGTTCAGTAATCACATGACATAAAACTTAAATGAAGTCCAAGTTTGTTTGCTGGTCAGCGTTATTTAAATGAGAAAAGTCAGATGATATAATGAAACAGGTTTAAAGCACATGTCTTATGTTTTTGTTTTGCATGGAAGGCTGTTACATTATTCATACTTACTCCATCAAGTATTTTATATAAAAAAAAATAGAAGTAACATAGAGACCTAATGGGTAACTTTTTTGATTATTGGCCTAAAATTATGATATTCATAGTCAGAGTTCGTATATATCATACATTAACATACATCAAGAAAAAAAATGTTTATTTGTAAAAATGAATTTTTAAGAATTATTTTCTGAAGATTTATAGAAGTCAAACAGACTATAATAGATTGAGAGAAACTTTAAGTTGCAAAAATGATCAGCAAGACAAGATCTACATTTCAGACAATATGGAGGAAATTTTCCAACAACTCCTTATTGGAGTTATTGACCTTAAATGACAATTTTTACCATTTTTTTTGCGTTTTGCCTTCAATATATGATAAAAATTATAATAGATAAATAGAAAAAACTTTAAATAACAAAAATGATCAGCAAGGCAAGATCCACAAATGTCAAATTTTGTCAATATAGTTGGTAGACTTGTCACTCTTCTTAAGAGTGATTGCCCTTAAATGAGGATTTTTTTACCCTCTTTTGTGTTTTGAGCAAAAACTAAAGAAGATAGAGAGAAACTAAACAGACAAAATGATCAGCAATACAAGATCAACAAAAAAGAAATTTCTGTCATGAATTCTATTCTTGTCTACAATGTTGGAGAGTCCATTGTTGATTATGCACATAGACCTAGGTGAGCCACACAGGCTCTTTAGAGTCTCTGGTTTGTTTTTAAATAAAGCATGTTAGAAATTTACATGTGGCTATTCACTGCCATACTGCACAGCATGCACACATATAGTGAGGAAGTAATGGAAAAATAGCAATTTACTCAGATAGAACATTTTGCTTATTTCTTCTTAATATATATGTATTTGCATGTATATTAGGTAGTTAGAAATTCCTGCAACATATATTTACATGTAAATTAGGTAAAGAGAAATTCCTAAAACATGCATGTGCATGCTTTATTGTTAGTTATACACACACAGCTCATATACTGTAACATATTCATGTACCTGTCCAGGAACCTTGTCAGTAACTGTCTTAGTGTTTATGTTTTTGTTGTTTAGAGAGTTTTATTTTTATAGGTCTTTTATAGCTTCTGTTTAATTGATTCACATTTTTTTAAGACACTGGACAATTTAGAGCTCGACATATTGGTATAGACACCTGTCTATTATTCTTGACCACTTGATGTTGATATGTTTTTTTTTGTTGTTGGATTGCTGGAGTGTCATTCATATATATATATATATATATATATATTCTACCACTGCATCAGATGTGATACTATATTTCTCCACTCGAGACAGTTAAATTTTCAAATTTTAAACACAAGGCTAATTTCCTAGAATTTAAATATTTAAAATTCAACTGTCGAGAGTTGAAAATTATGGTATTGCACATGATTTAGTGTTGGAATCTATTTTTCTCTAATGGTTTATAGATGATATGTAGATAAATTTAATCCTTCTTTTCCAATGTTCTGCAAAAAGATGTGTTCTTTCTATATAAATAAACTCGTCATAGATACCAGGATTGAAATTTTATATTTACGCCAGACGCGTTATATTATGCCATCATTTCATGGTCACCAGTGAATATATATATATATACTGTTGCCAAAATTCAAAAATTTTGTTGGTTTTTTTTGGGGAGGGGGGGTTGTTTTTTTTGTTTTTTCAGATTGTTATTTTTTTTTTTACCTTTCTCCAAAATACGGGTCTTCTTTTATTGCTCAACAATTTTTTGAAAACAATGGATAAGTTATAATATAGTAATTCAGATTACTAACAAGAACTTACCAGTTTATTTATATACTACTAATGTTAAACGAGGATGTGATAAGGTATTGGTAATTTCTGTATCTAACTTACAAATGCTAAAATTTTCAATAAAGTATGACACAATTTTTTTTTAAAAAGGAACGGGGAAATTGGAAATCGTTTCTGGCAAGGTCAATATTGGATATTCAGAAATTAATCTGTGCGTTTATCACTGATTACTGGTAAAAATATGAGATCTAATTGATGGGATTGCAAAAATTTGTGAAAATAAGAACTCAAGGTTTAATTACTGCGATCCTGATATTGTTGCATGTTTTTCACATTAATAAAAACATTGCATTAATTTCTGAATTTATAAAGCTCCTCAATAGCTCCATACTACAGTCATGAATATTATAATGATGGTTAGGATAGGGTTTACGGATAGAGGGGGGATAGAGAATAATAAACAAAACGTGCAGAATAAAGGACAAAAAAAATAAAGAAAAGAGAAAAATAGGGAAAAACAAATAAAGAATAGAGAATAATGGGGTGCTAAAATAAAAAGAAAAGAGAAAAATGGGGAAAAGAGAAAAAGAATAGAGAAAAATGATCTAAAAAAACAAAGATTAAAGAAATGAAAGTCCCCATCCAGACCCTCTATATAATATTAATGTCAGCTGTTTTTTAAGCACTATTCTTTATAAATATGTAACCTGGTATATTGTAGGGTAGAATGAGTGTAAGTTCAAACTTTTTAATTTAGAAGAATTTAGTATTATCACAATCAACTAACAGAAGTTGTTACTGCTTGTACTAAAATTTCTTGAAATTTCTGTTTTGCAGAATTTTTTAATATCATGTGGATATCTTGTTTTGTATTAAGCATTGTGGACATTAAACATAGATTGCTTAGAAATGTGCAATACTGTTAATTTTCAAAATCTTGAAAGTTGTGAATAGAAAAATGAAATAAGTTTTATTTTAATTGAAGGAAAAGCTTCATACAGAACTTACCATCAATATTTAAAATATAGTCAAGAAGACACTAATCCTTTCACATCGCAAAGATTTCTGAATTAACAGTATTTGATTTGCCTTTTTAAATTAAAGTTAGCATGGTATGATTTTTTGCTATTTTTGCTATTTAGTTTTTCATAAACAAAACATTTTGGGGCATTCCATGCTGGATAATTACATATAAGATTATATATAATCAAGTTTCCAAAAAATAGTAGCTAAAATCATCTAAAGTCAACCTTCGTTTTGTTAAATTTACGATATTTATCAACTGAAAATTGATTCAAATGTTTGTAATTAACCTGTCTAAAGACAATACATTACTTTGGGTCAGATGATACCCTGGACGAACAGTTCATCAAGTGTGGTATATTCTCTGGTTAGGTTGTACAAGTACTCCAGACTAACAGTCCATCGAGTGAGGTATATATTCTGGTTAGGTTGTACAAGTACTCCAGACTAACAGTCAATCAAGTGAGGTATATACTCTGGTTAGGTTGTACAAGTACTCCAGACTAACAGTCCATCGAGTGAGGTATATATTCTGGTTAGGTTGTACAAGTACTCCAGACTAACAGTCCATCAAGTGAGGTATATATTCTGGTTAGGTTGTACAAGTACTCCAGACTAACAGTCCATCGAGTGAGGTATATTATCTGGTTAGGTTGTAAACAGTACAAGTACTCCAGACTAACAGTCAATCAAGTGAGGTATATTCTCTGGTTAGGTTGTACACAGTACAAGTACTCCAGACTAACAGTCCATCAAGTGAGGTATATACTCTGGTTAGGTTGTACAAGTACTCCAGGCTAACAGTCCATCAAGTGAGGTATATACTCTGGTTAGGTTGTACAAGTACTCCAGACTAACAGTCCATCGAGTGAGGTATATTATCTGGTTAGGTTGTACACAGTACAAGTACTCCAGACTAACAGTCCATCAAGTGAGGTATATACTCTGGTTAGGTTGTACAAGTACTCCAGGCTAACAGTCCATCAAGTGAGGTATATACTCTGGTTAGGTTGTACAAGTACTCCAGACTAACAGTCCATCGAGTGAGGTATATTATCTGGTTAGGTTGTACACAGTACAAGTACTCCAGACTAACAGTCCATCAAGTGAGGTATATACTCTGGTTAGGTTGTACAAGTACTCCAGACTAACAGTCCATCGAGTGAGGTATATTCTCTGGTTAGGTTGTACACAGTACAAGTACTCCAGACTAACAGTCCATCGAGTGAGGTAAATACTCTGGTTAGGTTGTACAAGTACTCCAGACTAACAGTCCATTGAGTGAGGTATATTCTCTGGTTAGGTTGCACACAGTACAAGTACTCCAGACTAACAGTCCATCGAGTGAGGTATATACTCTGGTTAGGTTGTACAAGTACTCCAGACCAACAGACCATCAAGTGAGGTATATTCTCTGGTTAGGTTGTACAAGTACTTCAGACTAACAGTCCATCCAGTGAGGTATATACTCTGGTTAGGTTGGACAAGTACTCCAGACTAACATTCCATTGAGTGAGGTATATACTATGGTTAGGTTGTACAAGTACTCCAGACTAACAGTCCATCAAGTTTGGTATATACTCTGGTTAGGTTGTACAAGTACTCCAGACTAACAGTCCATTAAGTGAGGTATATACTATGGTTAGGTTGTACAAGTACTCCAGACCAACAGACCATCAAGTGAGGTATATTCTCTGGTTAGGTTGTACAAGTACTTCAGACTAACAGTCCATCCAGTGAGGTATATATTCTGGTTAGGTTGTACAAGTACTTCAGACTAACAGTCCATTGAGTGAGGTATATACTCTGGTTAGGTTGTACAAGTACTCCAGAATAACAGTCCATTGAGTGAGGTATATACTCTGGTTAGGTTGTACAAGTACTCCAGACCAACAGACCATCAAGTGAGGTATATACTCTGGTTAGGTTGTACAAGTACTTCAGACTAACAGTCCATCGAGTGAGGTATATACTCTGGTTAGGTTGTACAAGTACTCCAGACTAACAGTCCATCAAGTGAGGTATATATACTCTGGTTAGGTTGTACAAGTACTCCAGACTAACAGTCCATTGAGTGAGGTATATACACTTGTTAGGTTGTACACGGTACAAGTACTCCAGACTAAGTTACAGTTCATCAGATGTGGTACTGAAGTATTAAAGTGTATAAAGAATATAATGAACAAAAAGAGAATTTGTATAAATATGGATGACACAGCAATTCATCAACGCTATAAAAAATAAATCATTGAGACTTCCACATCTTTACAACTTATATATATATACATATATATAGCAGTCCCCAGAATCCCTTTTAACCTGCAGGACCATATGATTTTAAGGAGGTTGTAAGTCCATGATTTTTACTTTTTGATTATTAGTTCAGTATTTGATATGCTTTTATCCTATGTTTATGGTATTGGATTTATCTAAGAGAGGATATCAGTCTCTTAATAAAGGTGAAAGTTATTTGTCACATGCAATTATGGATTTGTGTTGATGTGAAACATCACATACTAAACCAAAAACCAAACTTACTTAGGTTTTACGCTTGAATAATTGTTATTTGCATAATTTCCAGTGGCAAATATTTCATGCATATTCAGAGGAAGTTTTATGCTTGAGGTCAGAGATCAAATACTATGTTATCTTTTAAATAATTTAATTTAGTATAGAGAAAAAAGAAAGGTTGGTCATGTTTCTAAATTATCCATGATCTTGAGATAATTTATGACCTACTGGATGTACTCCTAGTATTTATAATGGATGTACTCCTAGTATTTAGATGCCTTATTAAAAAAGAGTTTATCATCTCCTTAACTTCTGTGAAGCTTCATGTCTTGGTTTTGCTCTTGTAAACTGTATAACTGACAGTTATCCGTATTATTCAGTAAACAACATTTAAGACAGCATATAAAACTAACACATGTATGAACACAAAAATCACGGTAAATCTGGAAAATATTTCCAACTATGTAGAAAGTTGAGTTCTCAGATATTGCAGTATTTCTCAGTTGTCAGATACTATGCAACCATATGTTTATGCCACTAAATCCAAGGTTATTTGTAATTTCAAATATGGTTACTGTGAATTCATTAATATTCGTTGGATACCAATTTTCGTGGATTTCGTAGGTACAGGAGAACCACGAATTTAAATGTTCAACGAATTACAATAAAGGAATGTATGCAGACTTTGCCAGAACCAGGAAATTAGATATCCACGAATATGCAAATTTTCCTCAATCCACCAAAATTGGTACTCTAAAAAAATAAATGAATCCAGAGTATGATTGATTAGAAAAATGATTAATATATACATTGTAATTTGAAGCTGATGTTGTTTGATTTATTAAGATTTTATGCATGACTCTGATTGGTACCTGCTTGTGTGTTTTATTATTTACATGTTATAACTAGTCATATTTTTAGTTTTGATAAAAAAAAAATATTGAAGTTATTCTGCCTGTTAAGTTTGTTGTGACAGTATTTTTATTTAATGGGATACCAGGATCAATTTTCTTAGATTTTATTGTTAATTAGAATCTATAGTTGTAATACACAGTGTAATGAAAAAATTGACAGACTTGCTTCTTGCCATTGGATTATTTTATATCTGACTGGTGGCAAAACTTTTTAGTATAAAATTAAGTGCCTGGAAACACAAATTTAAGAAAGATATTGTGTCTACAGGGCATAAAATTTTGATCCCATAAATAAAAGTACTGTCACATTTTATAGTGTATGGGGAATGTCTTTATAAAACAAATTATTTGATGATGATTTTCATGAATCTCAGAGTATCTGTTTATTCATAGAATCTGTTTATTATAGAATTATCAAGATAGTAAAATAAAAACTATTATTTTCCTAATATATGATTTATATTACTATGTATTCTTCAATTATTTGTCATCTATTGGAATTTTTACATATTCTTTCTATTTCTGCCTGATATGCTGCTTGTTTGGTTTTTTAATGTCTGTCTGTCTTTCTCTTTATCAAAATACTTTATCAAAAAATTAATAAATCAATAACTAATTCCTTCACATTTCTTGTAGAATATTTTTCATTTTGTAATAATTGCATTCGTTTTCATTGTTTACTTTTTCACACACTGCTACCATTCCTTTTAGTGTATACATATGATTAGGTTATAACAGTTTTTGTGAATATATTATTTAAACTTTTCATGAATATGTATATGATTTCAGGCTGGTATCTCTGCTGCTCCTGCTAGAGCTGTTAGTGCTGTCAAGGATATGAATATTCCACAGAAGTTCAAAGACATGAAGTTACCTGACCTTCCTAATTTTAAACTGTCATGAATATTCAACATTCAGCTCATGAATATTTAAAAAAATTATGTTGTCATTTTCATATCACATCTTATTTCGTTAACAAATTTTATCTTTATTATGTGAAAATTGTACTAATTCTCAGTCATCAACATAGACAATAGTAACATTTGCTACTACATTTTTTTTTATTAAAAATTGTTCTTTATTTTCAAATCTAGAGCTGCCAAGTAATGCAGTTGTATTTTTCACGACTGTCAAACAATTATTTATTAATAGAAATAAAATAGGTATAGACTTTCACACTTTCACTACAGAACCTCATTTAAACTTAGCACAGGTTGACATTCATTCCTTACTGATATCAATATAGTAAGTGTGTCACTAACCATGCTTTTTGGTATGTATGAGAGCAGATGTGTTAATGTGTATAGAAGTTTGGCAGAATGTCTATCTTTGTTTCAATAAAATATTTAAAACGACAAAATAAAATTTTGGTTGTTAGGCAGAAATTCTTATTGAAAATTGTTCTTTATTTTCAAATCTAGAGCTGCCAAGTAATGCAGTTGTATTTTTCACTACTGTCAAACAATTATTTATTAATAGAAATAAAATAGGTATAGACTTTCACTTTCACTACAGAACCTCATTTAAACTTAGCACAGGTTGACATTCATTCCTTACTGATATCAATATAGTAAGTGTGTCACTAACCATGCTTTTTGGTATGTATGAGAGCAGATGTGTTAATGTGCATGGAAGTTTGGCAGAATGTCTATATTTTTTTCGATAAAATATTTAAAACGACAAAATAAAATTTTGGTTGTAAGGCAGAAATTCTGATTTAATATATAAATAAATTAATAAAAAGTTCATATAAAATAGAGTTATCTCCCTCTACAAAGAAAAATATAGATCATAAAACTAAGAACTGAATAGTTATTGGCGTTTTGTGAAAGCAAGTTAAATATGTACACTACAGCTGAAATGTATTTTGCCTTTTCCACCTGCCACCATTGGAAATATACTCATGTCCACTGTTCAGTCTTGTTTAACATAAGATTAAAAAAAAATAATGAAAAAAAGAGCTATTTTTAATTTTCCCAAATTATTGTATAATCTATTCTTATGATTAAAAAGACATACATAGACATGGACACTCCCCTTTTATGTATGGTTAATGCATACACTTTTTTCAAGTCCCACTCCTAGCATTGCCTTGCCCCTCCCCCCTTTTTTCAAAATCATTGATCTAATACCTAAAAGTTTTGTCAACTCCCACCATGGACAGGTGAAAATGACCATTAAAAAACATGGTCAGTGTGAAAAGCTCATTAACATAATAGTTTGGGATATGTTTTCCATTATAATACAATTTCCCCATAGATTTACTTATAACACCATGAGAAATTGAGGTGTGGACACATGATTGTACCTTCCTATAGAAGATTCTAATGGATGACAAATTTAATCTTGTTATTATTTATATCAGTAATTAGATTGATCTTTTTTAACAATTTTCATTATAAAAAAATAAAATTAAAAATACAATAATTCTTTAAAACTGTTTGCATTCAGCTGATTTTGTCTCCATTCTTACTATTAAAACAAGTGAACAGTTGGTTAGTTTTACAGTATACAGGCAATATATAAAGGTTCAGGAAATGTATTTTATTTATGATTGTTGTTGTTGAGATGAAAATAATGAATGAATAAATGACCTTAAATGTTTTATGTCTTTTCTGTTTTACTCACTGGAAAAAAAATATATTTAAAACCATATTATTACCACTATTTTGAAAATTTTTCTTATTTGTCATTCCAGAGCTATGAGATTTGAAACTTCAGATTTACTGTGGATTCATTATTATTCATTGGATACCAATTTTCGTGGATTTCGTAGTTATATGTTAACCACGAAATTAAAAGTTCAACGAATGGCAAATTTACTATAGGCTTGTATGCAGACATTGTCAAAAACCACGAAATTAAATATCCACGAACATGTAAGTTTCCTTAATCCACGAAAATTGGTACCCACGAAAATAAATGAATCCACAGTACGTAAAAATGTCACAGTCATATCTATCTTTGGTATGCTTAGATCAGTTGTCATATCTATCTTAGGTATGCTTAGATCAGTTGTCATATCTATCTTGGGTATGCTTAGATCAGTTGTCATATCTATCTTGGGTATGCTTAGATCAGTTGTCATATCTATCTTAAGTATGCTTAGATCAGTTGTCATATCTATCTTGGGTATGCTTAGATCAGTTGTCATATCTATCTTGGGTATGCTTAGATCAGTTGTCATATCTATCTTAGGTATGCTTAGATCAGTTGTCATATCTATCTTGGGTATGCTTAGATCAGTTGACATATCTATCTTGGGTATGCTTAGATCAGTTGTCATATCTATCTTGGGTATGCTTAGATCAGTTTAGGTCAAACTGAATAATGTTGTTTGGATTGAGGAAAGTAAGCATTCTTGCAATTTTGAAATATTCTGTTTTGTCAGGTACATTTTACTATCTTATGACTGAATGTCATCAACAATATTTATTTCAATGGTTGCAGCAGTTTCAAAATGTATCCCATGTGCATATCTGGATCTTGTGCACATCTAGTAATTTGTACAAAGTGACCTTTGTTGATGGTATAGGCGGATATCTGAACTTGATTTTTGTCTCGCCTTGCAAGAGAAAGGGATAACAATCTGGTGGCAGTGGATCATAAAGGTGTAATACCACCATTGTTTTTCCCCTATTAGTCTTTGTTAAATTTGCACTTTTCAAAAAATTGTGCAGAATTTATCTTTGTTTCAAATAAAGACATACTTGGGAAGAGTAAAGTTTTATCCTGTCCAGTACTATAGACCAAATTTACATGATATTTCATTGCATATAAGAAAATAACCATCACTGAAAGTTAACCAATCAAATTTTCACCCTTTTTTTCATATGTACAAGCTTTAGTAACCATGTAACCTCAAATTTCCAAAATATTCTATAGAAACACCAAATAAAAAAAGAATGGTGCTTTGAAACACCCAAGATATATGTTTATGACTCAGAAATTTTTTACTGCAATGAAATGTAGGATTAATTTCCTACAACTGTCAAATTCATGGGAATATTTTTTTTTCAACCCTTTTTTGTATGCAACTGGATGTGACGTACTATGATTTGGTGGTATTACACCTAAACTATTTGTATAAAGCTCTATATTCCAGGGAATACAAATCCTGGATGTTTCATACCTTGAATACAAAGGTGTTATGTTTAGAAGTTTGATATATTTTCGTTGTCCTTGACCTCAGTAACTGCTTAAAAGACTACATTGTACTAGTATATATTATGTGTCAAAATTTCACTGATGAGTAATTAACTACTGGTTAAAGGGATCCTTACAAGGGTTCACCTGACCTCAACCTTATTTCATGGATCAGTGATCAAGGTTAAGTTTTAGTGGTCAAGACGGTATCTTAAATACTATAAGCAGGAGGTGTATTGAATGATTGTATGGTGTACATGTCAGTCTGTTTCATCTCATTTACTGTAAATTCAGAAATTATTGCGTGCATTTATTATTGCGATTTTGTCATTTTAGACTAAAATGCGATTTTAATTTTTGTGATAATGAGAAAAATCCTGTTTAATTCATATAAAAAATTTCAAAATGCGAGTTTAAATTATTGCGATTATAACCCTGTCGCATTTGTCGCAATAATAAAAACATCGCAATAATTTCTGAATTTACAGTATTGATAAATGTTAAGTTTTTATACTTGTCTGTTTCTCAGATACTATAAGTAATGGATTACTGTAAATACAGAAATTATTGCCAGCATTTATTATTGCAATTTTTATACGTCCACAAAAATTTTTCCAATCTTTTGGTATCACGTCGTCGTTGTCGTCGTTGTCAGCGTCGTCCGAAGACATCTGGTTTCCGGACAATAACATTAGTAAATTTAAATAGAAATCTATGAAATTTAAACACAATGTTTATAACCACAAAAGGAAGGTTGTGATTGATTTTATAGGGTTATAGTCCTAATAGTTGAGGAATTAGGGGCCAAAAAGGGGCCCAAATAAGCATTTTTCTAGTTTCCAGATAATAACTTGTGGAACAGTGTATGGATCTCTCTGAAATTATACTACAAGTTTCCATACCACAAAGGGATGGTTAGGATTGGCTTTGGGGGTTATGGCTCAAACCGTTTAGGAATTAGGGGCAAAAAAGGGGAAAAACAAGGGTTTCCTGGTTAATGGACAATTAAAAAAAAGTACAATGTTATGTTTGGTTTACCTCCCTTACACTGCTTTTAAATTATGTATAAAGAAATGTGGTATTGTCTTGAGGTGATTAGCTGTCAATTTATTTTTAGAAGTTACTATTTAAAAATGCTAATTAAGGAATATTCATTTTCGCAATGATTGTGCATGTCATTTTCTATTTTAAGACTTCTATGATGTAAAAGAAATTGTGAGGGGTGGACAAATTTTTCTCATTTAGGATTTTTAAAAAACCTATTATGTGTCAAATATTTAATTACAATCCAAATTCAGACCTGTATCAAGCGCGAATATTGTGTCGATTTTTGCCCCAACTGTTCAGGGTTGGACCTCAGCGGTCGTATCCAGCTGCGCTCGGGCGAAGCAATTTATTCAAGAATGGATAAAAATGTGAGATTAATTATCACAATTTTAGGAAAATCTGCATACAGATATATGTATGGGACATCAGAATGCAAGTTCTTATTATTGCAATACTCACCAAGTTGCATTATTCACATCAATAAAAAACTCACAATAATTTCTGAATTTACAGTAACTATATTTGAAATATGGAAGATTGCAATGTGTACATGCCCATATTCATATAACATTAACATGTTCTTGTTCTGAATATGCATAGAATTTGCTGCTCTATGTTAAACAGCAATCATCATCATCATCATCGTCGTCGTCGTCGTCGTCGTCGTCGTCGTCGTCGTCGTCATCATCGATGATTTGAAGGCATACATCTAAAAGGGTAAGGGTTCATCTGACCTTTTCCTCATTTTCATTAACTTTTTTAAAATTAAAAATTAAAAGTTGTTAACAACAGATGTCTAATAATATAAGCCTGTCAATAGAAAATCCTTGTCCAAACTAGTTATATTGCATATAAATTCAAAAGCTGGACAAAGCTTCTGGGAAAGATATTCTGGATTAGAGTTTCGAGTTAATCTGCATAATAGATACTGTTTTGATTTAGACATTTAGCTATTTTGCCATTGTGAACCAGAGTTGTGAACCTTGTCCATGTTATATACAAAACTATACGATCAATGACTAGCACAAATCTCCGTGAAAGGACAGCATAGTTCTGTAACTACAGGTTTAGCATACTGTAGCATTTTTTGGTGAAGTTCCATCAATTCCTGTAGCTTTTTTAACATTTATTTTAATTATTTGTTTCAAGACCAAATTTCATTTACTGGTTTAAAATTCAGTTTTTCTGATGATGGCAATTCATGATAATTTTTTATAATTGCATCATCACTTGGATGCTTTTCATCAATAACTATGTTGATATCTCCTATGTTCTTGTAAATAACTACAAAATTAAAGGTCTCACCATGTTTTCTTGTAAAATGATAACTTTGCTCTTGGGTCATACTTTATTTGTTAGAAAAGGTTTAACTGTAGGCTAGAAATCTTTTGCCTTAGGGCCGTTTTAAACAGATTGTTTTTTTTTTAAATTTTGCAATGATTTGTATAGTATGAGTTTACAAAATTCCATTGAGCTCTTTAAGCTTCCCAATTTTTTAAGTAAAGGGCCGTTTGTAACCTGTAATATAACATTCTTTTTTTATAAATTGCAGATTTCAGTTATTCATTCATGTATGGTGTCTGGGACTAATACATTAATCTATTAGTCCCAGATGGTATTTGTCTTGGCTTTATTTTATCACTTTGCACTAACAAGACTGGTTCTTCTTCGTCAGTTGGTCGAAATTACCAAATAGTTTGATTTGATGAAATAAACTGTAATTTGGTCAGAGTTTTGTAGAAACTGCAATAGGTGGAGAGAAACACTAACAATCAAGATACAGTAAGTTTAGCTGTTACACCACTGTCCGAAGTTAGGGGAGGATTAAATGCCTGAAAACATGTTTAACCTTGTCATATATGTGCCTGTCCCAGAGCCTGTAATTCTGTGGTTGTTGTTTGTTGCAGTAGATCATATTTGTGTTTTCCTTTGTTGTTTTGTACATAAGTCTTGGTTTTCTAGTTCTAATTGTTTTTTAATGTTGTCATGTTTTATGTTGCTTGTTTTGGGGTATGGGTTTTGCTCATTGTTGAAGGCTGTACTGTGACATAGTTGCTTACATCTACATTATTTGATCTTTGGTGGATAGTTGTCTCATCGGCAATCATACCACATCTTCTTATTAGTCCCCTACCGACAAAGTCGAAGGGGACTTAAGGTTTGCACTCCATCTGTCTGTCTGTCTGTCAGTCCGGCAAATCAGTTTTCCAGACTTTTTTTCTACGTGCTTGAAGATATTGATTTGATATTTGGTTTATTGATTTATCATGACAAGTTACGGATCAAGTTGGAACTTTGTTCCAGTCTGATAATTTTGTGCAGAGTTATGGTCTTTGGAAATAGAAAATTCACTTAAATAATCAGTTTTCAACTGTTTTTTTTTGTCATGCTGGAAGATTTTGACTTGATAATTTTATGTAGTTTATACCATGACAAGTTATAGATCAAGTTAGAATTTCGTTCCATTACAATGAATTTGTAACCGGTAGGGGACTATGTATTGCCATGCAATACTCACAGAATGCTTGTTTTATATAAGTTATTAAGACTCCGGGTAATTTAAAGCTTGAAATATTTCATAAAACCTTTCTATTGTTGAGAACTGTATGTTGACCTCTAGATGTTTATTGGTTAATTGTATTGTTTGGTAGCTGTCTCATTGCATACCCCACATTCCTTTTCTTCATCAGCAGAGAACCTTTCAATTGGTTGTTGTTTTGCATCAAACTCGATCTTATTACTATTAAAAAACCCATTTTAACCACAAAGAAGCAAACACATTAAAGGTATATATGATTTATGATTTAATTGACATTAACAAAATATACAAAATCATTAAATGCATAAAGTCTTGAATATTTTATATAGTGTTATTAGTTTCATAGTTATTTTCTTTTTGCATATTGACTAAACAGTGATGAAAATGTATAGAAACAGTGATGAAAATGTATAGAAACTGTAGGGCTTGAAATTGGTGTTGTGTTCCCTGTTCTTAAAGAATGTAGGACAGAAAGTCACAGGACAAAAAAGTCATGGACAAAAAGTCACAGGACAAAAAGTCATGGACAAAAAGTCATGGACAAAAAGTCACGGACAAAAAGTCACAGGACAAAAAGTCACAATTCAGTTTTGAGATTATTTTTCTTTGAACAAGAAAAAACTAATTTAAAAAGAAATATTTTTTTTTTTTTTCTTAAACTATTATTTATAAAGCAACTTTGTAATTAAAATTTATGCAATAAATATTAATAATGATCAAATAATTGATATGAAGACAAAATGTCAAAGAGGCTTGATCCTTTAATGGCTTCATGGTGCCAAGAAATATATCCTTTGCACGATATAATTTAATAAATTTTCATTTATCAAGGCTTATGAACAATTTCCTAAACTTAAAAATGAATATATGTAATAAAAAGAAAATATTTCAAGATCTTTCTCTTATATATTCAAACAATTGTAAACAAACTATTTGTGACTTTTTGTCCTGTGACTTTATGTCCGGTGACTTTTTGTCCTGTGACTTTCTGTCCGTTTACCATATCTACCTTCTAAAATACACATGCTAACATAAAAAGTCCATTGATTAGGAGGGACAAAATCACTTGTCCAGTGAAATTGGAATCATATTGGTGATCCAATATACAGTCACCATACTGTATATTCAGAAATTATTGCGAGGTTTTTATTAGTGGGAATAATGTGATAATAAATCTTGCATTTTTGTCTACAGGTAAATTCTTAAAAATTTGCAAAAAATAATGCATGCAATAATTTCTGAATTTACAGAATTTTGAAATTGTATTGTGGGATTGCAGTAGATTGCTTATCATAAATGAAGAAACTCAAAAAGTAAATAACCAGGATCAGAGGAAATAAAAATTCTAACACCATCACAATATAAAATGCAACGTTCTCAAAAAAAGGTTTGATGGTAAACAGCTCAACAAATTAAAAGCAGGCAGTACTTCAGAGATAAACTCAACCAAAGTTTCTATTATTAAGAGGTCAGGAGGCAAAGTAAACAGTGAAGTCATTTGGTGCCTAAAAACCCTCTGCATGTTATATTTACAATTAAAAAAAAATACATTAAAAATACATGTAAACATATAAAACACAATTTGCACAAATCTGCACCCATATATTGTGAAAAGCAACAAAATGAATAACCCACTACAAATTCAAGGACTTAACTACAACTGTGTGCTCAATTTTATGCCAGCAAGCTAAATGGTCTTTGACAAATGGTCACTTGTTGGTGGTTGTGGTGATGAATGATTACACCAACATGTTTTATTTCTTGCAATGGCTGACAAACTACAAATTTGTAAATAGATTAATAGATGTAATAGAAAAAAGTAAAATAACAAAAATACTGAACTCCCAAGGAAAATTCAAAACGGAAAGTCCTTTATCAAATGGCAAAATCTAAAGCTCAGAGGTTTAAACCAAAAATTGAGCATAGTCTTGTTTACAAATAAACAAAATCAACAACAATATTGAGCATGCACTTATAACAAGACAAAAAAAACAAATAAAATTTCATAACCCTATACAGAGACAAGGCAAGATACTGAATCTTAAAATAGACGAGGCCAGTTTTGGGGTAAAGATTGCATGAAATGAAATCAAAACCCTATGGTACCGACTTGATATCTAAATCTTCCAAGGTTTATCACTACCTTTGAGATACACAAAATATAGTGCATTGATCATAACATTCTATACATCCTATCCATGAACATTTCCAGAAATTTATCAATGCAATATATGCTCAGATATTCAAGTCACAAAATGATGTAATACTTGTCAAGAAAATTACATAACTTTTGCAAGGTGCAGGAATCTAATATCTGTTCTAAAAAATATCAATGATGTCATTGTTAAAGTCATCTTTAAAAATTGGAGTTATCTTCCTTTGTCCAGAATTGTAGTTTAATCAACTACAACCAATGCTTTATACAATGCAATATTTAATTTTGCTTCCCACTGATAAATTAAAGCAATCTTCACCCTTCAGTGCTTACAAGCACTTTGATTGTTATAATTTTGTAAGAAGATCACAATGTTTTATTTTCTGGGAGAGTGCAACAGGTGAGAGTATGGATTGGGCATACAGAATAGAGAATGATGGGCAACTACATTATAAAGGTAAAAAAATGTGAAGAAAAGAGAAAATAGGTAAAAAAAAATAAGGAATAGAAAATAATGGGGTGCTAAACTATATACTGTAAATTCAGAAATCATTGTGTGCATTTATTATTGCGAATTCTCCAGAATTGTAAAAATGCAAGATAAATTATTGCGATTTCAGGAAAATCTGCATACAGTCATATGTTTCAGATATACCGGTAAGAATGCGAGTTCTTATTATTGCGATACTCATTTAGTCGCATTATTCGCATTAATAAAAACCTCGCAATAATTTCTGAATTAACAGTAGAAAAGAGAATAAGGAGTAAAATAAATAAAGAAAAGAGTAAAATGGTCTAAAAAAAGTAGAATAAAGAAATGGAGGACCCTCTCCTCCCACCCAGACCCTCATAACTCTATACATAGACAAGGCAAGATCATAAAAAGAGGCAAATTTTTGTTACAATTAATCTAATTAGAAGTTCACCATGTTTTATTTTCTGGGAGTGATCAATGGCAGGGGGGTAGAAAGAAACATTTTTTACAAGTTTGCAATTCATATAAATAAGTTGGTCAATTAAAATGGAATTTATAATTTAATCTGCAACTTTTATATGCATAACAAAAAATTTAAATTAGCTCAATTGGGCGTCATCATAACAAAATGATGTGGTCAAATTTTCTTTGGGAATGACAACATGATGGTCTAAAAAATCTTTAAGCTACTATCACTGCAGGATAAAAGGGCCCAATAAAATTAGCATGCACCTCCACAAATGATACGCTCCCCCAACTTAATGGCCAATTAGGCAAAGGTATCAAAATTAAATTAGGCAAAAGTTTAGTAATGAAATGTCACATTTCACGGAGGAACATATGTATTATTTTAGTTTAAGGTGGTACCCAACACCTTGACTAATATTAATTTGGCTCGTTTAATTTTCATAAAATTTTGACAAAATTTTTACTTTGACCCTTTGACAAAAATGTAAAAATTTCAAAAAATTTGAACCAACCACTTTATCAGAAAAATTTCATTGGTTATATAGCAGTTTGACAAACACTAATTTTGATCATTGAGAAGCTTAATATTTCCTTAACAATACAACGTAATTAAAACGTTTAGCTGATTTTTACAGAGTTATCTCCCTGTAGTGTTAGGTACCACCTTAAAATGAGGACAATTGGGTGAACAAATATATCTAAAATAAGTATAAACAATTGTGATATATGTATACATGCCAACTTTACCAAACCTTCACATGGGATTTCAAGCACAAGAGGACCATAGGCAGCTCTTATACATGTTATAAGTGTTTTATTTTATTGTATATATTGTTTTCAATTTAGACTTGTTTATATATATATATCTATATTCCTAAATTATTAAAGCTCCTTTAAATGAATGCTTTGAGGTATTTAGGATTCCATGTGTCAAGTCAATATCTCATTTGGGAAATCCCCTATACATCAGAGAGGTTGGCAGGCCTACAAACATGTTTCTTTAGAACCCAGATTTACATTAACTTATGGACGCTTCTTTATAAAACTATATTTTCAGTGTATTTTTAAGCAAGAATGTGTCCATAGCACATGGATGCCCCACTCGCACTATCATTTTCTATGTTCAGTGGACCGTGAAATTGGGGTCAAAACTCTAATTTGGCATTAAAATTAGAAAGATCATATCATAGGGAACATGTGTACTAAGTTTCAAATTGATTGGACTTTAACTTCATCAAAAACTACCTTGACCAAAAACTTTAACCTGAAGCGGGACAGATGGAACGAACGGACGCACAGACCAAAAAACATAATGCCGCTAAGTTGGGCATAAAAATGCAAATATTGAACAGTAATGAACATTTATATAACAAAATATAAATCTCTGTACACAGACACTATACTGTGGATCTTTTTTTTCATGGGTACCAATTTTACGTGGATTGAGAAAAAAATTGTATTCTCGTGGATATTTGATTTTGTGGTGTTGCCAAAGTCTGCATACAAGCTTATATATAAAATTTATATTTTGTTGAACATTGAAATTAATGGTTCACCTCTACCAACGAAACCTACTATAATTGATATCCCACTAATAATAGAGGGTCGTAATGGGGGTACCTTCACCACGAATAACGGTCAAAATTCTTGCCAAATGACTTTAATGGTAATTTTTGTTGCATGACGATAAAATGTACTTTCTTTTAGATGATAAAAAAAATCGACTGATTTTTTGACAATCACGTTAATTTTTTTCCAAAAATAACGGTAACGATAATTATTTGAGACCTCTGACGAATCACGATAAGGATATTTTGATGAATCACGGTAAAATTTTAACCAATTTGACGCTAACGGTAGCCGAAAATGATGGTTTGACGCCTGACGGTATAGGGCATTCCTACCCTCATAATAATGAATCCACAGTATAAATAAAGAAAAAACTCAATACATTTATCATAATTTACAAAATGTATCACAATTTTCTCCCCAGAAAATAATATCCTATATAAATAGTCTTATGTCAGGTTATTGTCATACATGTCAATCAGATGTTTTAGTACAGGAGAATTGTCAGTTATCTACCAAGCATGTTAAGGATGTAGAGAGAAGAATCGTCAGTTATCTACCAAGCATGTTAAGGATGTAGAGATTCTTTAAGTAGTTCATGCTCTCCAATGGACGATTTTACTTCTGTTTACTCTGTTCTTTGCCCTGTAAAGTAATAGAAAATATCAAAAAATCAAGTTAAGAAAAAAGGATCAATTGATTTATTCAGATTAGAATCAGATCTATGCTAACTCTTAATTATTGATATATATTCTGTAAATTCAAAAATTATTCTGATGTTTTTATTAAGGTGGTACCCAACACCTTGACTAATATTAATTTGGCTCGTTTAATTTTCATAAAATTTTGACAAAATGTTTACTTTGACCCTTTGACAAAAATATAAAAATTTTAAAAAATTTGAACTAACCACTTTATCAGAAAAATTTCTTTGGTTATATAGCAGTTTGACAAAAACTAATTTTGATCATTGAGAAGCTTAATATTTCCTTAACAATACAACGTAATTAAAACGTTTAGCTGATTTTTACAGAGTTATCTCCCTGTAGTGTTAGGTACCACCTTAATGTGAAAAATGTGACAGTATCAAATCTGTAATAATATAAACTTAACATTCATAATCTCAGTAGTAATTTTCCTTCAAAAAATGTTTGCAATTGCATTTCTTAGATTTAACATTTTTGTCCAATATTCTATGATTTGCAATCATAAATGCAGCATGAATTTCTGATTTACAGCAGGAACATATATATTGACGGGACTTGACACTACCTGATTGTAGTCGATTTTATCGTCGTGTCATAGTTAATAAAGATACGATACAGAAACGGACATGCGTTAAAAACAGACTCGCTATTATCCTAATAATTTCTGATATTATCAATAAAATGTCATTCAAACTAGTTTTATAGTGATGCTAGTGTATCAAACTTGTATTCTGTCACTTCAAATTTGTTAAAATCGCAAGCATTTCATCACAGAATTGTGCAGAATGCAAACCAGGTAATAAAAAAATGGCAGCCATTGCCGCGATGATTTACAAATTCCCAAACTATTATAAAACACTTCACATCAAATAAATCAAACTTATTTTGGTAATTTTATATGACAGAATATATCTACTAAATGATAAAACTTGTTTTTATTTACAATTAGAGTTATGTGGTTTATTTGTTGAGCAGTTCTGATAGTTTTTCAGTCAGACGCTACCAAAATCCGTAAATCTTGGGAAGTCTCGGGGAGTCCGAGATTTTATCAATTTTATACTGAAAAGCGTATCAGATTCATTTCCCGTTAGATATACTGTTCCCAGTTTACAGTAATTTATTGAGCAGGGTGATAATAAAATGAAAATACTGAACAACAGAATAATGTTTAATATTAATATCTTGGTTAAAACAAACTATTTTTTTATCTATTTAGTATCAGTCTCCATGACCTCTCAGCATAAAGTTTACATGAACTTAAATTTTCATTGTCAATGGATATTACTGTAATCAGGAGTTACCTCCCCTGTCCTTATATTTGACCTTGGGTTAATTCAACCTGAAGGCACTAATAGAATTCGATCAAATATCTAATGTGATCTAAAGATGATTTATCTACATAAGATTAAGACTAGGCTATTTTTAGACATTTTATCTAACTCAGTCAATGTTTTTTGACACATATGACTTAGCACACTTAAACATCTTTGTTTCAAATCTTTTATCTAAAAATTTCTCTAACCCATATTTATTTTCACACAGCCTACCATATTTACAGAAGTATGCTCATAGTAGAAGAGGTAGTATCTGGTACTTTGACCCTACACAGTCACTACTGATCAGTACTATAAAGAGTTGAGAAATTTACCGTTATATATATTTTCATAAGGTTCAGAATACAAATACGAAAAGTATCAATTGACATAATAGTTAATGAAACCCTTTACCTACCAATTCAGTCTCGTTTGAATTATTTTACATTTGTCATTTCGGGGCCTTTTATAGCCGACTATGCGGTATGGGATTTACTCATTCTTGAAGGCTGACAGTGACCTATATAGTTAATTTCTGTGTCATTTGATCTCTTGTAGAGAGTTGTCTCATTGGCAATCATACCTTATCTTTTTATTTTTATATTTATACAAAATAATATGATGAAATTTTATTACATGAGTATAGGTCCAGTCTCCTCTGGAAAAAAATAAAAACAAAAACAACACAACAAAACCAACAATGGGGGACTGGTTTTACATAATAATCTTATCACATAAACTGCTGTTATACAATTCATTGATGGTAAGTTTAAATAATGATACATACAAAGGGTGTCCTTTTTCCGAACTTGCTCCAGAAGGTGATGGCAGCATTTCTCTTATGACCGGTAAACTGGTCAAATGATTGACACTCATCAAATGGTGGACAATAAAGATGTAAAGAAACAGCATTATCTGTATGGCTTGGGTTCTCTATACGATGTATACCTAATTTATCTGTCAAAAAATCATGGCATCATACAATAGCATACATAGAATCCATACCCATAAAAGGTCATGAATAGTAAAAATATCATGTTTTTTTAACAATATATCAGTTATATTTTATAACTTCTTGAATTTCTATGGCTAATTTGCTAAAGGAAATGAACAAAGTGGCTAATGCTAAAAAAACATTTTCAAATTTTGACCAGTAATATTTTTTAAATCATGATTGTTTTTATGTGGAATTGATGACCTTATCACAATTCTGATAAAAACTAGGAATCATTTGAATTCTTGAAAATTGATAAGATTTCTTTGATTGAAATTAAGGAGGGTTAGCCATGCAGCATGTCTTTGAGAGGGGGTGGTAGTTAGTTTATACTAAAATATCAGTGAAAATAACCTGAGCTTTAGAAAGTTGGGTTAGTTTTCATCATACATTTCTTATTAATTTTCCAGAATTCAAAATACTCAAGTTATTGTTCGGAAAGCAGATAATGCTAGTTTTTTTGGACCATAATTCCTTAACGGATTGGGCCATAAACTCCAAAATCAATCCCAACCTTCCTTTTGAGGTATGGAACCTTGTGGTAAAATTTCATAGATCCATATTGTAAAAGTTAGTCCTGAAACAAGAAAAATGCTTGCTTTTGGTTCCTAATTCCTAAACAGTTAGGACAATAACCCCCAAAATATTTCCCAACCATCCTTTTGTTGTATGGATCCTTGTGGTATAATTTCATAGAGATCCATAGACTTATACTCAAGTTATTGTCTAGAAACCCACGTCTTCACATAACAACGATAACAAATTCATACCATATATTATTATACAGCGGCAAATATTTTGCAGTCCTTTTAAAATGACTGATGCCAATTTACTGTCGTTTTGACACAGAGAAATATTAATGATATGCTTGTGTGACCTAATCACCATGATCAAAAACTTAAATAACCATGATAACTGTTGAAACTGCCAATGCTGACGCCAATACCAACATGCTTAAGTCTCTATTACATGACCTTGGTCAAGGGCGGGACAATAAAACCTACCAGACATATATCCTACTTCATTCAGATCTAGTCTGGTCTTCTTTATAGGTTTCATTTCTTGTATTTCTTCATTTTCTGGCCAATCAAATAACTCTTCATTTAAATGTCCTTCCATGACCTTGAGGAAACAGTGAGAATTAGCATGGTCATGTATAGAGCTGGCTTGAGCTGTATTCCAACATAATATCATCAGATTAAACTTTCCATTTCCTTCATCAACCAAATTTCTTGTGTATCTGTAAAAAAAAAGAAGATTCAATTCAGCTATAAATGTTAATTAATAAAAAATTTGGAAATGGAATGATAAAACTATAAGGCAAACTATTTTATGTTTAGACGATTTCGTCCTTAAGAAAAATATTGTAGGTAGGTAGGCAATATTTTTTACTTTGCTGCATTTCCTTTTTACTTTCCTTGTTGTTTTTTTTACTTGGAGTATCTGGGGAGACTTATACATTTGTCACAATTCACCACCAAAAATAGCAAAGTAACACTTTAGGGTAAGCATTTTGAGGCATACAAAAAAGGAAACCCTAAACACAAGTAATTTTTATTTTGGCCTAAACTGAAATTTTTAGTTTTCAAATAACACATTTTGAATTCCTTACCTAGATTTGGATAGTTTATCACACTTCATTCATATTAACCACTAAAGTGTAATGCTAAAATATTTTATGCATTGTATACAAATGTACTTCAAATTTACAACAAAGGCACAAAAAACCAAAATACACTAAAGATCAACACATTACATGTAGAATTCAATAATAGACAAGTGTATATATATCTATTCAATGTGTCAAGATGTTAATCTCCAAAAATACTATAGAGAAAAGGTAAAATAACAAGAATACCAAACTCCAAGGGAAGTCCATTATAAAATGGCAAAAACAAAAGCTCAAACACATCAAACGAATGGGAAACAACTGTCATATTCCTGACTTGGTACAGGCATTTCCTTCTAGAAAATGGTGGATTAAACCTGGTTTTATAGCTAGCTTACTTGTATGACAGTCACATTCAAGCCGAATTTATGGATAAAATTGAAGCAATTGATTTTTCCATCATCTTATTTCAAAAACTTTTCCATTTCAAACTATTCTTTTGTTTTTCTAGCATATAAAATTGTCATTTCATTTTCTATGAAATTCAAATATTAATTAATAGTTTTTACTAAATGATGTTTGCTTAAATTATGGCCAAAACTAATTTAATCAAACCAAAAAATATTTAAGTTGATGAAATAGACTATAAAGGTGTGTGGGCATAAGCCAATCTGATTGGCTTAGAGAAAAATGATCGCAATACAATTCAATGTCAAGGTTAGAAATGCAGCCTGAATTGAAACTTTGTTTTGTCATCCATATTTGGATGTGTAGCTGTGCCAATTTATCCAAAAACTTTTTTTTTGTGGATGAATTAACATAGTTAAGATGTACCGGTATAAAACATGTAATTCCAAAACAAATATTTTTTACATCATCACAATCGTATGGAAATAAGCCAACTGTTTTATACTTGTATTTTGTTTTGAAATTCAATATCATGAATAAAGTATTTAATTTTAAGCTGTTGACACAGGAGTGTATTGTCATGAATGTGAACAAATACAATATTAACCTGACATAAATCTGGTACACATGTACAACATATGCATGTAATACTACCTATTGGTTCAAAGCAGACTGCAATGTCATGGGCAAAAAAATATTAACATATATATATACTTTGAGAAAAGGGGGAACTTACTGTTTACAAACTTTACATTAAACTCCTAAGACTCAAACTCAGTTAAAAAAAACTCAGTTCAAAATTTCCATTAATATGCATGATATAGGCCGTTTAAATATTGATAATCTCCAGAAAAAAAAAGTTAAATCCTGTAAGGATATATGATTTGTTTGTATATAAAATTGCATATGATTCTATGAAAATATTGTGTCATCTGTGAATAGCAAAAATAAAAGTCATGCACAATTTCTTATTCTGTCGACCCCTTCCACCTCTCCCACTCCCAACAGACTCCTCCTTAGCAGGCAGAAATACAAGTTTTTCACAAAGTTTAATTTGAAGAATAATTCTTTCATGCCATGGTCTACTTTGCTCATTCTAAAATATATATGGGTAGGCATTATACATGTTATATTATATACATTTACACTGATCATGAGTGTTCATGGAGAGGTGTAAAATATGGACAATTACAATAATGTAAATAGCAGGCCTAAGGCATGTATCCAGGAATTAATGTTACACATGTGTTAAGGGGACGCCCTGAGAATTAATTAGGAATTAGAGGACCTGATTTTCACAAAATATTTGCTGCACTTTCACCTTTATTACATTTTTTTACTTTTATTAGGGGGTGCAGGCCCAAGCTAGATTGGCCTGGCCGCCCCTGTCTACTTCTGTGCCTGCTCCTTTATGTTGCTTGCCTCCAGGACTTAATCAAGGGTAGGCAAAAAAGTTAAATGTCCTTTCTCGGTACATACTTTGCTCAGCTATTATTGAATATGAAATTTGATTAAATGTTCCTTCCAAATCCATTAACATAAATAATGATAAAAGAACAGAGTTCCAATGTCCCCTGCATTGCATATATATATACATGATATATCTTCATGATCTTAGAGAAATGAAGGCTTCAGATCAAATACAATGTAATTTCAATATAATTAATATTTCAAAGGGCAAACAATTATACAAGGACTGTGTTGCACTCATTGGTGGCCTTCGGCTGTTTTCTGCTCTTTGGTTGGGTTGTTGTCTCTTTGTCATTTGACATATTCCCCATTTCCATTATCAATTTTATGTAACTCTTAAATATTTGATCTGCACTGATTTTCAAACTTGTTCGAGACATTGCTTATATAAACCTTTGATATACATTTGATAAAAATCTGGCAAAACTGTACACATGACATGAGCTTACAATGCAATTTTCCATAAAATTAATATTTCAAAGGGACTCTTTTAAAAATAATGATCGGCACTGATTTTCGAACTGTCTGAGGCATTGCTGATATAATCTATGATATAAGTTTCATAAAAATCTGGCAAGAATGGTACTCATGAGAGCGCTAACAATGAAATTTTCCTTATAATTAATATTTCCAAGGGGCAAAACTTTTTTTAAAATAGTTAATCCGCACTGATTTTCGAAATTTTCAAAGACATTGCTGATACATGTATAAACCTATGATATAAGTTTTATAAAAATCTGGCAAGAATTGTACATGTGAGAGTGCTAACAAGACTGGACAGAAAGACGGACAGATGCGCAGTTTTTCTATGTCCCCGGCCACAAACGTCACAAGGGGGACAATATACACAACTTATTTATGTAATCTCTTTTATTTTATACATGAGATACCTTCCCACAAAGTAGATAACTCTTAATAAATAAAGGGTACTGCATCTTATCTATGTAAACAAAACTAAATTCCTTATTTTTATACAGGTTACTGCATCTTACTTATAAATAAATGTAAAGAAAAATAGGTTACTGCATAGTAATTATGTTAACAAATATAGGTTTCTGCATCTTACTTAGGTCTGAGTACACAGTTATTTCGTAGTGCATTTCTTTTAGACAATAAATGAAAATTAAAAAAATCCCACCTGCGCTTTCTCAATCATATTTTTACAGTGTGTTGTACTACTTTTGGGACAAATATAATATATCAAAATTATAGAAAACTTCATCGGCTCTAACTCAAAATATGGACAATTTTATGTTAGGCCAAGTAAATTTAATTAGTAGATTTTCATCCAAATTTTTGAAAAAAATGGGGTGGGTGGGAGGATTTTATTTTTTTATTTTTTATTAGATATGAAACATTCTTGTGACGTGTTCTTCATATATGCAAGTGTAATAATAAGGTTCTATCATGTATATACATGTTATAACGAATCAAACATACAAAGAAATGCAAAAACCAAAATTTGAAACAGGATGTTATTAATGAAACGAAATTATCGACAGTTACCGGTAACGTAAATGAACAAAATCCGGAAATCGTAAATTTTTCAAAATAAAAAAAATTGGGGCGGAACGATTTCAGAGGGGCGGGCGGGGATGAAAATCTATCAATTAATTTTAATTGGCCTTAAGGGGGTCTTCAAATCTTTTGAAAGCTTCCGAAGTGCAAATTTTTAACATTTTTCAGCTGGACCAAATCACTACTTTACTTTAAAATTCATGACCCAAATTTTTTTACAGTGTCATTTCACCCCCCCCCTACTTGCTATTTGAGTCATAAAACATGGAGAAATAAATTTGAAAGGGGTACAAAAAAAATTAGCAAGTAACACACTGTCCACACTAGGGACTATATTCGTGGACAACGAAAATCAAAGGACGATAACTGTGTACTCGGACCACTATGTAAAGACAAATAGGTTTCTGTATTTTACCTATGTTAACGTAACAATTATAGGTTACTGCCTCTTACCTATGTTAAGAAAAATAGGTTACTGCATCTTACCTATGAGGATCAAACTTGGCAAACTTTTTCCATTCTTTAGGATTACTTTTATACATGTTCATTAATGCGCTCACATATTCTATATTCACTTTGTCTGATGCAAACACCTTATGTAACTCCTTAATTAAATCATCTAATGTTTTTGGTGGTACAATTTTATCAGTGTCATGGTAATCATCCATCTCAGACTTGTTACAATCGGAAATCTTCACATCTTCATTTTGTACACAAGTATCAACTTCCATTTTGAGATTTTTTTCAAGACTTTTTTTTCTATCAAAATCGTCCTCTATTCTTAATAGTTGCAATGTGCCTTTCCTTTTTACAATGTCAATTTATAATTCTCTGTCCTCTCTATTCTGAAAAGAAAAGAAAAATTAACTACAACTAAAATAAATAACTTTGGTGTAGCTTTTCTTCCAATTTTTTAGGCTAAAATCCACTATATAGAGGCAGATGCCATTAAAATTAACACCACTTAAATAGTAATATTTCCAATGCAATGCACAAATTGAACTTTGTCTATACTTTCAGGTGCAGATAATAGGCTTTCTGCATGGTTGCAACTTTTTTCAAGGTCATCACACATTATAACATGCTGTCAGGTCATGATGTAATTATATGATTAACTGTTCAGAGTACAAAATTAATGAAAAATCTATTTATTATATATATATATATATATATATATATATATATATATATGAAAAACATGTATGACCACTTTTTCAGTGCTTATCATTGTACTAAGAAGTACATCAGCAAATTCTTATCGATTTTACAGACAGCCTATTTCTTCACCTTGGTTAAATAAATCTTTAGGCTCTAATAAGCATGGAAAAAATACATCTACAAAAGCACAATGTGTCCTACTTTTGTCTTTAAGTCTTTAAGCATTCAAGATAATCTACACAAAATTATTGTAATAACTGACTCAATCACAGCTTTTCAACAGAAACTTCTTTTTTGGACCAAGAACAAAAAGCTGAGTGAACAGTTCAACCACCTATACACCAAATATTTACCTAGTCATTATTATTCTCTTTACACCAAATATTGACCTAGTCATTATTATTCTCTTTACACCAAATATTGACCTAGTCATTAATATTCTCTTTACACCAAATATTGACCAAGTCATTAATATTCTCTTTACACCAAATATTGACCTAGTCATTATTATTCTCTTTACACCAAATATTGACCAAGTCATTATTATTCTCTTTACACCAAATATTGACCAAGTCATTATTATTCTCTTTACACCAAATATTGACCAAGTCATTATTATTCTCTTTACACCAAATATTGACCAAGTCATGATTATTCTCTTTACACCAAATATTGACCAAGTCATTATTATTCTCTTTACACCAAATATTGACCTAGTCATTAATATTCTCTTTACACCAAATATTGACCTAGTCATTATTATTCTCTTTACACCAAATATTTACCAAGTTATTATTATTCTCTTTACACCAAATATTGACCAAGTCATTATTATTCTCTTTACACCAAATATTGACATTAAATATTTAATTCTTCAACACATGAAAAGTAGGTTAAGTCAATCAAAAATAACAGCCAGTGTTAGATTGTACTTTACTGTTTCTGCAAATGATTAAAAGTAAACTTTTACCATGTTTATAAAAAATACAATAACTTACAAGATTATGCAAATCATAAAGCAAATATTTACAAGATATGGAAATAAGAAGGTGATCATGTTGATACATATATACGACATGTTTAACTGCAATTTTTAATCTCTTTAGAACAGTTCTTACATGTCTTAAATCCAAGAATTTAGACAATTTTTTTCTTTTTTTTTTGGCTTGCATCATTATTATTTTAATTTTTTGCAAATACACATGTAAAGAAAATAAAGGGAAATTTTGTCTCAAAGAAAAAAATTATATGAAGAAGTCCAAGAAAAATAAGGAAAAATAGTAATAAACTGTTAACACAGAGATATGTCTCGCCTATTTGTTATTTTGATAATGCAAATGTTGAAATTAAAATAGCAACACTTTAACATGTAAGTTATGCAAATATTCAAAGTCAATGAACCATGACTGAAGGTACAGGGCTAAACAATCTCCATGGAAATGAGATGTGCCAATGTTAATACAACTGCAAACCAAATACCATTGTCTTTTCGTAAGTCGTTCCCTTTAAACAAACCTAAACACAAACATTAACTTGTAAACTATGTAAAAGTTTCAAAGTCAATGAACCATAATTAGGGGGTGGGGTTATATAATCTCCATGGAAATGAAACTTGCAAATGCCAATACATTTGCATACCAAATATCATTGACTTTACATTAGTGGTTCATCTTAAACTGACCTAATCACAAACTAATACATGAAAACTAAGCAAAAGTTTCAAAGTCAATAGACCATGAATGAGGGGGTGAGGCCAAATAATCTCCATGGAAATGAGATATGCCAATGCTTATACAACTGCATACCAAATATCATTGACCTATCACTAGTGGTTCCCCATAAACTGACCTAATCACAAACTAATACATGTAAACTAAGCAAAGTTTCAAAGTCAATAGACCTTGACTGAGGGGGCGGGGCCAAAAAATCTCCATGGTAATGAGATGTACCAATGCTAATACAACTGCATACCAAATATAACTGACCTACCACTAGTTGTTCCCCATAAACTGACCTAATCACAAACTAATACATGTAAACTAAGCAAAGTTTCAAAGTCAATAGACCTTGACTGAGGGGGCGGGGCCAAATAATCTCCATGGTAATGAGATGTGCCAATGCTAATACAACCAAATATCATTGACCTACCACTAGTGGTTCACCATGAACTAGACCTAATCACAAACTAATACATTGTTGACGCCCCTGTCGCCGCCGGAAACAGCATACCTATGTCTCGCTTTTTGACTCCGTCAAGGCGAGACAAAAACTAGGAGACTTGACAGCACGGTTTATAAAAATGCCACTTCAACGGGTTTTCATAAAAATATATATTGGAATATTGTTATCTATTTTAAGAAAATTAAGATTACATGTATATCTACACTTTCTTTCATCCTTCTTATCTTTTAAAAATACTACTTTAAATAATTCCACTATAAATCATTTGTCCTGTAGTTGAAAGCTATAGCCAAATGGTTACATTATAGAGGGAGCTGTGTAAGCACTCTTTGAAAATAAAATTAAATAACACTAGACGCAATCTTTAAAATAAACAAAAAGTTATTCATTATAAATTAATAATACTATTTAAACACATTTCAAACCAACTTGTCCTTAAAAAACCCATCAAATAAAACTAATTATATGTTGTGTAATCACCATGTCCCCTGATGATCTATAAATTTTAATTAGATTGGGATCATGTGAACCGATAACTTACAACTTAAATTTTATTTTCAAATACTCGAAATTAGAGAGAGGAGAGAGGAGTGGACAATTTCCAAGAAATCATATATTTTTTTTTCTACTTCAGAAAGTTAATTGTGGACAAGTTGTAATTAATTACATGTACATGTTTTAACATTTGTTAAATCATGACAAATTAAATTTTCCTGCTTTGAAGGAAGTTTTAATATTTATATGTAATTGTTATGTTTATACAAATTATAGATTTATAAATTATATCACACAGCCTGTTCTATTTTGTTCTGAGAAATCTGTCACTTAATTTGTCAACTTATAGCTGCTCCTCCTAACAGAAGTTACTTTGGAAATTTTGTTATAAACAATGCCTTATATCTGTTCCTTCGGAAACTTATTAACCGGTTCCTATTTAAATTTAGAGATTAGTGATGGTCCTGATGTCCAACTAAAAGTTTGTGGTGGTTTTATTTTTTTCAGGCTGTCTGGTATTTAGTATAAATGGACTAACCTTATTTAGACCTACAAGTATGGAAATAATTAGACTAACTGTATTTAGATCTACAAGTATGGAAATAATTGGACTAACTTTATTTATCATGTTTATCATGTTTATACCTACAAGTATGGAAATAATTGGACTAACTTTATTTATCATGTTTATACCTACAAGTATGGAAATAATTAGACTAACTTTATTTATCATGTTTATACCTACAAGTATGGAAATAATTAGACTAACTTTATTTATCATGTTTATACCTACAAGTATGGAAATAATTAGACTAACTTTATTTATCATGTTTATACCTACAAGTATGGAAATAATTAGACTAACTTTATTTATCATGTTTATACCTACAAGTATGGAAATAATTAGACTAACTTTATTTAGATCTACAAGTATGGAAATAATTAGACTAACTTTATTTAGACCTACAAGTATGCAAATAATTGGACTAACTTTAATTATCATGTTTATACCTACAAGTATGGAAATAATTAGACTAACTGTATTTAGATCTACAAGTATGGAAATAATTGGACTAACTTTATTTATCATGTTTATACCTACAAGTATGGAAATAATTAGACTAACTTTATTTATCATGTTTATACCTACAAGTATGGAAATAATTAGACTAACCTTATTTAGACCTACAAGTATGGAAATAATTGAAAACAATATAAGCAAATACATGAACAGGATCACCAAATTTTCACCGGGACCACAAGATTTGTACAATGTAAATACAAAAAGGTACATGTATATATACAGTCTTCGTGGTCCTTAATGAAAAAGATTTCGAGAAACTGATTTAAAACAGGTTTAACTGTATTTCAAAGCAAGCAAATTAAACATTAAATTAATGGAAATGCATCAAGCTATGAATATATATATATCCGTTCATCCTATTTCGACTCTTCAAAATTAAAGAGTCTATCCTAAATTGAGGTAAATTATATGGCCTTCCAAATACCGTTTCCATTCCTAACATCACTTAAGAGACTTGTATATATATATAAAAAACACAAACAAACAAAAAAACAAAAAGTGGTTTGACGCAAGTTTACAACAAGCTCGAACTAACTTGCTTAATTATGGAAAAATTTATTCAAGATTTCCATATGATCCAATTATCAAAAATCACTTTTATAAACTGAATCGTGAATACTCCAAACTAAGGAAATATAAATACAAACAATACAAACAATCATTGATTAGTCAGCTGGACTCCTTGCACGAAGAGAATCCAAAACTGTATTGGAACTTAATTAATGAACTACAGGAAAAAAATGAAACACAAAAAAAATGTGGAGTACAACCATCAACTTTGATATCACATTTCCAAAAGTTGTCACAACTGAAAGGTGAATTTCAAAGTAGATATACAGAGCTATGTGAAAAACTGAAACAGTTAGAAAACTCAAAATGTTTCAACGAGTTGGACTCCGTTATCACTGAGTCTGAAATATCCAAAGC